TTTAAGGCAGAATCTTCGTTGACCCTTCAAATTAGCGCATTCTATGTTCTATAGCTCATTAAAATAAAATACTTTAAAAGAAGAAAACTGAAGAGTAAGCTTCTTTTACATTCATTGGATTTTAAAGTCTTGTTGTTTTTTCCAATGGAAAGCTTTTTCAAGATTGCTTTGAAGGTAGAATTTAACATTGTACGTGATTATTAAAATGAAATAGAAATCAAAGAGGAAAGGAGTCTTTTTTAATCAACAATCCAAACCATTTTTAACAGATATTTTAAAATGTTCTTTCTTTGGTGTGGTGTTTGTTTTTGTTTTCCCTTACTGTACCTATCAACCTATAAGCTTGTGTGCTTAGTTTGCGCACACCTGCTATGTGGTGTGAAATGTTAATGCCTTGAGCCATCATATTAAATATTTGCGCCCCAAAGCATGCACCTGTTTTTTTTTTTTTAACCGGAAATGAGCAGCGCAACAACAACAACCGAATAACATGAAAGACTGTGGAAACGGTGGACTAGAATTTGAAATAAAGTGCAATCAACTCTTCAACTCGAGCTCAGCACTTCAGGAATAACGAACAGCATGAATGTGTTGAAGTGATTTTTGTTAGTTAGTTGAATGGGAATGGGCACACGAACTACCTACATATAGTACATATATAGTAGATGTCAGTCAAAGTTTAAATGACATTGTCTAAGCATAACCATTTCTGCCTCTAAACATAGCAACGCCAGCAACAATCAAACTATATATAGCAACTATAGTTATGTGTGCATTGTAGAATGGAACAATTTAGAGGGAGTTGCAGTTTGTTGAGTATAGCTGAGCCACTTTAATTAACTTGGCTAACACATGGGCACACTCACTCACACATACACAGACAAAAGCTGCCATTGCCTGTATTCGCCTGTCATTCCCAATAACATTTCAGCCTGCCTAGCTGACTGGTTGGCTGCCTGCCTGCCTGCGTCTGTCTATCTATACATCTATCCAACTTGGCTGTCAGTTTTGGCCTGCCCAGTCCATCCCAGTTATGCCCCAATTGTGCCACACCCACCCGCCCAACCGTCATATCACTCCTCGTTCAATCTCTTTTGACGCATTTCCATTTGGCTGTCGCATCGCAATGCCCTACGTATTTTTTACTTCATTAATAATTCAGTTTTGGAATATTTAATACGTCGAGGTTTTCATTGCGTGCAACGAGGAGGCGGTCGTAGGGGGCAGTGCGCAGAGGGCATGAAACTTAAGTTATGTATGTGTGTGTGTGTGGGAAACCATATTTAGCACCTACGAGTATGTATGTGCATTCTGTGATGCAATGGAAGGAAGCAAAGCGACCACAAAACGCAGTTCACATCAAAACTCAACTGAAAAGTTCAGCTTTTTATGGCCAGAGCAAAAGTTTCTAATACGTGCTTATGCTATATACATATGTATATACGCAAGCACAGTCAATTGTGGCTATGAAGAATTATAGAGAATCGTTCCAATCATCATTGAAAAAAGAAACTAAGGCCGGAGTATGCTTTCTATTTGGACCAAGCAATTTCGTTTTAAGAAAGTGATTTTTTTTTAAATTTACATTGCTGTTTTGAAAAAATTTGTGAGTACACCTAATTCTGTTTTTACACGGTCTTTTTTTTACAAGATTTTAATATAACCCAGTTTGAAAATTAAAAATTGCATATACATTTCTTTAGAGAAAAGGAACTAATCGCCTTTTCTTTGCATATGATCAATGTATTTTTTTACACGGTTGTTTCTAGAACCAATCCTCCGTGTAAAAACAGAATAAGTTGCATTGTTTTGCATCTGCAATGCTCGTAAAAGTTGTATAACCATAAATGAAAAGTGAAAATAGTGAAAATAGAGCTTTCAACCGAAATCAAAAATGTGGCCTCGATTGGACGAAGAAGTTTCGTTCTAAAAAAGTGGTTTTTAAAAAATTGATACTGCTGGTTTTCAAAATTTCGGATCCATAGTTTGTTTTTGCAGTGTTGTATAACCATAAATGAACGATCAAAATAGAGCTTTGAAAAATATGTTCAAATATACAGGTGAGTTTTTGAAAGCACGATTAGCTAGTGGAATTTTATTTTCTCTTGAAAAAATAGCAACAAGAAAAAAGTTCTATTCAGACTATAATCTTTTTTTTTTACAGTTTAAGTTGGACCAAAAAATCTTCAACCGAAATCAAAAATGTGGCGTCGATAAAGTTGGCGAAGTAATCTGTCCAGCATAGTAGGAACGATGGGTGATTTTAAAACGTTTTTTCCACAAAACTAATCAAATTTAATGAAATAAAAGATATTTAGAAAAATAGATGATTCCTCAATATAGTATACTATATAGTAAGACCTTGAAATATTCCCTTGAATTAATATCGAAGATTTCTTAATTATGCATAACTGATTTTTCCGTTTCTGGAAGAACTTAAAACACTATAAGAACTCATTCAGTCAATTGATTTTGCTTCTGTAAACACAAATATGTACTTAATTCTTTTTTGTTTCATTTGTCGTTTTTCAAATAGAATTTATTCGAATTGAAATGAAATAAAAGATGTTTAGAAAAATAGATGAGGAATCATAGATTTTACAATATATACTATATAGTAAGACCTTGAGCTATCCTCATGAATTAATATCGAAGATTTCTTAATTATGCATAACTGATTTTTCCGTTTCTGGAAGAATTTAAAACACTTAGTTTTTGCAAACTATAAGAACTCATTCAGTCAATTGATTTTGCTTCTGTAAACACAAATATTTACTTAATTCTTTTGTGTTTCATTGTCGGTTTTCAAATAGTATTTATTCGAATTATTTACAGTAAAGTTACACTGTACCGTGGAATGACTGTGTATGTTTATTATGCAATCCCCTGCTACCCAGAACGCTTTGCCTAACATAGCTGAATGTGCCCAGAGCTATGTTTCTTTGAAATAAACAAGCAACTTTGGCACTGCATTTGAATTTAAATCGAATGAAAACATTTGCGTAACAATTTGGCAGGAATATGATGCAGTCGCTCAGCCACCCTCCAGCAGCCCTTACCATTATGAAACGCTAGAAAAACTCAGAGATAAATACATGTATATATACTATACATACATACTACGAGTATATACTATGTATATGTTACGTAGCTACAATGCGTAACCAAACTGACAATTTTCAAAATCAATACGAGGATGGCGCACAAATACAACTACTGCTGCAGCCGACAGGGCCAGGACTTTTGTCAATGCTGCTGCATAATTTATGTATCGGAAATAAACAAACATGTGTGCACACACGAGTATAACAGACATTTTGTGAATTAACATTTTGCAAAGCTGGCATAGATTTATCGATTCAGCCATGGTGGCAACGATATTACTAATCTACTCTAAGCTGATTGATTTTATATGGGGCACAATTAATTCACAGAGTTGTAGTTTATATTAAATTATAAACAAGGACTTTTTAAGACTATCCCTTTCTAGTGGCAGCCCACATCTCTTAACGACATACCATCCGAATATCATGGCAATCGAATAAATAAAAAAAACCGTTATCGCTCACAAAGTAACACTGTGTTTGTGCTATCGATAGAAAAATGAAGATCAATGGAATGTGTTTTTAAAACTTGATACAACAAACAAATAATTGTTTATCTCACAAATTCGTAATTACCGAAGATGCAATTAAAAAAGTGCATGAATTTATCGAAAATCAGCCAAAATATTTGGTTAAATTTATGGAAACGGAATTAAATGTTTCCAACCCAACGATTTATCGCATTTATAACCGAACAATTGGGTGAACTGAACGCGAATTCTTCCTTCATTCCGCACATGCTGACTGATAACCAAAAGTTTGTTTCAACCTTCAAAATTTGTTTCGGAGTTTTTGACAAACAATCGCATATCAACCAGAAATCACTTCCCAGGTTCGCCTGATTTGGCTGTAGGACGAACTGTAACACTCGCTCTTCCTCAACGCACACAACATTATTATATTGGATCGGAACATGATCATTTTGAATAAAAAAAAGACGTCGTTTTGTCAAAATAGCAATTCTGTGTTCTTATTTTTCAAGAGTCCTGTTTACTTGAGGTGGCACTTTAAATAAAATAAAAATTAATATTTGTATATCTGGCCAAAACTAATGTACTTTAAATTTCACATTATTAACTTGTTATCAATGATAGTTCATCAATTTAGAACTTTTTTTTTAACTGTAACAGTTGCTAGGTGCTTTAGGTTGATGACTACAGACTAGGCTTAATTTAGGGTTGTTGATATCGCATCAATTTCCTAATTTATTTAGATTTATTTAATATCTTTGGAATATTATAAATACTATGGCGATTATTTGGCAATATTACTTGAAGAAACGTTTGAAGCCGCCAGTCTACACTGCTCTATTTTCGAAATGAGTATTAAGAATATGTCCAAAATGTGTGAAATGTCTTTCGAAGTCATAACCGAAACTAATATTAATTTTTAATCATCAATAAAAAAAAAACAAAAAAAAACATGTAGCAATTGTGAAATTCACAAATTCTCTTCTATTTTCAAGATGAAATTATAAAGTTGGGGTTTTAAATTTCAGAGAAAGAGAGTTTTTAATTTTGGCAAATATTTCCTTTTTTTAAAACATAAACCAAGGGCGGTTATTGAAACCTAATATTGGCATAAAAAATACTAAATATTTTAGAAACGTGTTTTTAAAAAACTATATAGTGAAAACGGACCTTTTGAATGATCTTGATGGGTGAAGGCAGTTTTTTTTTGAGGAATTATATAAATTTATTGAATTGACAATAACTTGACAAATAATGAATAAACTTTATCTATGATAATGATAGAAGTTATCCGGAAAAAGTTAAGAATATAAGATCTGCGATTGAATTCGTAAAGAGAAAACTCGGAACTTTTATCTGAGAATATTTGCTATAGAAAATGCGAACGATTATCCATACTATTTCTGCTTTTTCCCTTACTAGCGCTATTTCAATAACAAAATTATTGTAGATATCAACAACCCTTTCCTTAATACTAGAGAAAAACCACAATATGCTACTACGTGCTGCTCGAGTTGGAGCTGACGCTCTGTAGCGAGCTATTGGAGGCGGCCTTGCGGAGTGTCTCGCCAGCGATGCCACAAAGATTCTGCACCAGGACCGAGGAGCGTGCCACGTTGGGCGAGCAATTGGAGCTGCCGTTGTTATTGTTGCTGTTGATGCTGTGGCGACAGGGCTGTGGCGAGGTCGGATTCGAGAGGCCGGATTCATGTATGGGCGACAAAGTGGGCGATCGAGTGCGCAGGAAGTGCTTACGTCGCTGTCGTCTGTAGACATTGCCCAAAACAGGGAGACGCTGCTGCTGCGCTCCACTGCAGCTGTTCGGTGTGTACGGGCCGGACGGAGGAGAGGCAAAGCCCAGAGTTTCGGCCAATTCCTTCAGATCAGTGGGATTGGGCATTTTGCGGCGCGTGGGTGGCGGCAAGGCCGGTGGCAACGTCAACGTATATGTGGTTACACTATCGTCGCGTATCACGGATGTTGGCAGGATGAGTAGTTCGTTATTATGCGCTGATGTCAGCGAACCATCGCTAGTGCTATGCTCCATTTCGCTGCTCAGTTCTGAAGCTGTAGGCGTACAGGAGCTAGGCGGCTGTGGCGTGCTGCTGTCATAGTAGCCGCCGGAGTTGCCACCATTGGCGACGCCTCGGCCCTGCAGTTGAAGCGGACGTATCTGATTCTGTTTGACGGACGTGTGGTGGGGCGGGTGGTTCGGGAGGTACGGATGGTGTTGCTCGGCGGCCGCCACATGCCCATGATGATGGCGACAACGCGGGCGTCGATAGCGTCCCAGCATGCGCATCATATGGCGCAGTCGTGCCACCGGCCAGGTGCGAGAATTCGAGCTGCTGGACTGTGATTTTATAGTTCCGGCGGATGCAGTGCCGGCGGCGTTGGCGGCAGCGGCGTCGCCATTTAGTGTGCGTATGAACTGCACCGGCAGCTCGGCAGCATTGATTTTATTGGACGTATCCGCCAGTTGCTCCTGTTGCTGTTGCTGTTGATGGCGATAGGCCAGTGCCGCAATGAGATCGTTGGGCACATCGGGACTGTCGGGTACGCTGGTGCAGCAATTCCATTTTCGTCGCCAGCGCTGATGCTTCGAGATAGATTTCATGCAGCAGCGCTGATGTTCGCGCTCTCGTTGCACTCCACCGCCGGCGCTGGTGACTGTGGTGGCGGTGCTCGCGACTGTATCTGTGCTGGAACTGCCCTCGGCCGAGTGCCGAAGCAGCATGGAGGGCTGGCTGTGGGTGGCCAGTATTCTAGTGCTATTGCTAATGTGACTGCCACTGTGGCTGCCACCCGTGCGCTTCGTCACCAACGGACTGCGAATACGGAAGGTACAAAAAGTGCACTGCTCCGTATATTGCAGATAGGGACGTCCACGTGCCGATACACTGAGACTAGCGGCGGCGGCAGCTGCCTCAACATCGCTAACCAGAGTCGCCTTGCTTGTGGCTGCGCTGACGCGTCGTTGCAGAGATCCGGCCGCAAAGCTGGAGCAGCAGTGAAAGGTCTGCAAGCGCGACTGATCCAGATTTGGGGACTCATCGTAGGGACTCACGCCTCCACCGCCGCTGCCCAATTGAGCGGCTAAACTATTGGAACCAAAACTGTGCTCATCTAGCAGCGAGCACACGTAGTAGGCTTTGTGGGCACGCTGATGAAATTCTCGTGAATTGGCGCAGCAATGCAATTTTAATTGCTCCTCAGTCTGTTGAAGCTTGCGCGCCTCAAAGTAGTCTGTTTCGTGGGCCAATGCATTGGGATGTCGCACACTGGAGCAGCAAAAGATTTGACCACACTCGCTACCATTATGCCTGGACGGATTGTTGTGTGGCTGTTGTTGTGTGGGCGAGAAATGGACACCATTTTTGGGCAGCATTGTGGCAGCGTTTGTGCTCAACAGGTGTTTGGCCTTGGCCTCCTGGGCCTGTCGATGATTGCGTATATATTCGTAAGTGGTAAGTCCCAAGAATGATATATAGATGTGAAAGAAACACAAATGTAACAGCAGACCCGCACTAATGGCCGCCAACAGGCCGAGAATACCAATCAGTACTAGGAATATAGTTTCATTGACGCCTATTCCTGCCACAGTGGGCGTGGACGCTGTATGATTGCTCTCCTCCAGCATCGTAGGAATGGTTCCGCTTGTAGTCAGCTCTGGACTAAGGGTTACCTCCAGCATTGTGCTTAGATTTTGCATTAGTGTTGGCAGCGTTACGTTTTCCAACTGAGTATAGAGATCTTCTTTCGCTCCCTCGGTCTGCTCTTGATCCTCCAGGAGCATAAGTGTACCATTGCCCATGCTTAGGGTTAGATTAATGAAATCAGTGCCATTAAAGACTGCATGCGATGACGTTGTCTCTAGCGCATTTAAATCTAAGCTACCTATACTAATGGGGTTGCTATCGACATCCGAATCAGTTGATCCACCGCCACTACACCAGTAGAAGCTCAACCACTCTGGCTGGAAGTAGTAGAGCACAATCTGGGCAATCACAGCCGCCACAATGACCAAAGTGGCCACCACCGCACTGACCACACACATCAGAAAGGCCACATAGTTTCGGGAGCCAATGCAATGATTCAGCCACTTGCAATGATGATCAAATTTTCCCACGCACTTGTTGCACACAGAGCAGTGTTTGGTGCGAGGCGAGGAGGTTCGTATGTTGCATAAATGACAGCGTCCGTTCTCAATCACATGTGCATGCTTGGTGCGATCGAATTCGGGCACAATGCGATCGTTTCGATGCACACGACGCAGCTCCTTATCCGCCGGATCTGTGAGCAGTGCGGCCAAATGTGAGGCAATGTGCACAATATATAGACCTGTGATGAGACCATATAATGGGCCCTGAAATGGCACACTGAAGGCCGGAATCAGCACCAAATAGCTGGCCAAACCAAACAGCACTAAGACCAGCCAGCCAAAGAGCTGCAATGGATGCAGCGGCAACTGCAATCCATGTAAACGACGGCCCCGACGATGATGCACATCGGCAATGTTGTTCTGAAAGGAGACCAGCTGTGACAGTTGACAGAGAGCTCGCAGTTTTTTCTTCGCTTTGCTGGTCGCTGGAGTGGAGGCGGCACCTGAAGCTGGCAATGGAGTGGGTGCTGCAATCTCTGTGGGTGAGACAACGTTATGGGGCAGCTGGGTTGGCTGCTTCAGAAGACGTTGTTGCTTCAGCTGCTCGGTGTCGTCGTCGGTGTACGCTTCCGTAATGCTGGCAGTGCTTATGGTTATGATGTGGTCCGTGGAAGCGACTTGGCCTTGGCCTAGCGCTGCTTCAGTTGCTGGCGTTTCGCGTTGTGTCTGGTTGGGCATTTTTTAGTTGCATTTGTTTTGGCGATACTTGAAGGCTTTAAAATACTATCGTTGATATTGTTCTCCTTCTTATTGTGGCAATGAAATGATGATAGTGACGTAGTAGTTGTAGTAGTAGTAGATAAAGATGATAGTGATGATGGCGATGATGATGATGAGATAGACGGAGTTAACGAGCAGCACATTCCAGCAAGAGGTTATAGGTGCGTATATGGAGACGGCTCAAGAGGATTTTCCTGCTTGCAATTTCAACACCACGCCCGCCACCGTTTATGTAATGACGTCCTTGTTATCGCTATTTGCTAGTCGCTAGTCTCTAGTCGCTTGTTAGTTGTCAGCTGTCACTTTTCGTGTTGTGGTTGCTGTTGTAATCTTAGCCACACTCAAGTAGCTTAATCAGCATTTGTGCGGCAGGTGGCAAATGTTTTGACGCTGCCGTTTTGTGGCCATTGCTCACATTTTATGTCCTTTACACTGCCACTTGCACACTATTGTGAATGAAAAGGCGTCGCAGTTTAAAGCCTCACTCACTCACACATTGACACTGACACTCACATCATCATCATCATCTGCTCTTGGGGGTGGTTGGTTCGTTTATATGAATATTTTTTTATAAGCCGCTTGCCACCCCCCGCATAGATTCTTGCTCTATGATTTTGCCTGCTATTGCGTTTTGGGTATTTTGTTCGAAACACCAACACACACTCGAACACACAAACAACACACTCGCACTCACACAGAGAGACGCGTAGCGAATGAAGCAACTGAAGCTCCCAAGTCCAGTAACGTGCGTGCTTTGAAAATAAACAACCGACACGGTCGAAAGACAAAAGGCAACTGCGCGCTGCTTATTGAATGAAGCTTATAAAAGCCTACGATTGAACGAAAGTTGAAAGCATCTAAAGTGAGAGTAAAGCTTTCGGGGATTGAAGGTGATTCCTTTTCATTGAACGTTTTTTCGTAGTAGTAAAAAGATTACAACTTTATAAAGTTAAATTACAATTTTTCTCCACACTCGCCTTTATTTTATATTTAAAAGCGCCGTACCTCAACTAAAGCCGGATACTTTATTTCTTGCAATTGCAACATTTGTCATCATTGTTTGTTCGATTATTTGTTCATTTTTAATGTAGCTTAGCGAAAGTAAAATGCAGAGATTCTTTTGACGATGTTCGATGTTCGCTTCGTTTTATTTTTTGTTATTATTATTAAAATATACTCGTAGAATAGTTTACAAAACTAAATATAACTTTTTCAATATCTTAGTCATTTTTATATTGTATTGCCATTTTTCTATGGCTTCATTGAGAAAGAGGAGTTGTTTATTTAGGTTAGTAAGACGAATAGAACTCTAGAGTTATTTTAGGGGATGGCCGTGTTTGAATATTTTTAGTTTAATATGTGAGAGAGCTGGACATACAATAAATTAAATATTGTATTTTAATTGCATTGTTGTTGTTGTAATATATTCGATTCATTAAAAACATTGGTTCGCCATTTATTATTTTGATGTATACACTCTACGACTCTCTAAGAGCAACAAATATCTTCTTTTTTTAGAGGATTATAAAGGTTTTCCTTAGTTTTATTTTTATTTCAATATTTTATATTATCATAGTTTTCTGCAACAAAAATAATAATTGGAGTTGAATATTTTAATACCCTACATGTGAAATAAAACAGATTAGCTTGCAAATTTTGTGCATGTCTGACCACAGCTTTAGAGGTAAAATGAAATATTTTAATCACAAGTGAAACGAAATTTCTGTGACGTCACAAAATAAACTTTTGCCACACAGTTGAAACGTAACGATTGCCATTTCAAGAGTTGGTTGGCGGGGTAGAGTCAGGGTGGGGAAAACACTTTGACACAGCTGTGTGCCTGCCGGCTTCTACTACAGTTCAAGAAAGACCGCTCCACAGTTGGTGGGGTGCGAAGGCTCTATGGGGTTGCTCACCTGCCCAAGTCCTTTGTGTTTACATTTACTAACGGGTAGCAACTATTATATAACGACAGGAAAAAGAGGCCACTCCAGATTTATGCGTGCAACTTCGAAGTTTGTTTGTCGCTCACGTGCCGCTTTCGATGCCCAGCATCATTTTTTATTCATGACAACGAATGGGCCTGTATGGGATCGAGGGGGTGGGAAAACGTACGTGTGTTGAAATGGAAAGTACACTCGAGAGGGTATTTGGAGCAATGACTAAACGGACGGTGGTGGTAAACACGTGTATATACATGCATACATACATATACATATGTGGCTAATAACATTCACTAGTAGTGTCAGCACTTGCTTTGATTTTATTAGCACGGCCCGCTAGGTTGCAGACAATATGACGCCTGACCGATTGCCAAAGATTTATGCTTGTTGTCCTGAAATGGGGCCGGCTCAAAAAAAAAAAAACGGAGGAAAAAAACGCTTCAAATTATGTAAGCTGGCGTCTTAAAGCAATTTCAACGAGACTTATGACGACAAGACAGGACCAATAGAGGAAATCCTAATCGAAACGCAAATTATCAAAATAAACAAAAGTTGGCCATCAATAAAATGGCCAAGTGCTTGTTTATTTTGCATAAAATATACATTGTTGCTGTTGCTGTAACTGTTGTTATTCTTGTAGTGGAGTGGCAGCAACAACAGCAATTGAAACGATAACAGCAACAACAGCAAGCAAACCCATAAGGGTGCTTAGCGGAAGCTTTGATAAGAAGACATACATAAGCACAGTTATTTACGCCAACAGACGCAGCTAGATTGAAGAAACGCTCTGCCATGGAAGACTGCAATCATTCAATCAAAGCTGCACCTTTCAATTTCAACTTTGAGTCAGTTTCGTTAAAAAGCTCAATCCTGAAATATTGTATAGGGATGGAAAACAGCACTTAGTAATCCAACCATTTACAATACCGAGTTGCTTTTCAAAATGTTCTTAGCTGTTTCGGTTTGCGAAAAACTATCAAATTGTTCGGCTTAAAAAGTCTTGCCTTTGTCTGAGTGGTATCAGCGAAAGCACGAAATTGAGAACAAATCAGCAATCCTGAGTTTTAAAGAGTATTCCGAAACGGAAACAGGCCCATTTGTCCAATTAATCAATAAACATACAGCATCTTTTGTCTGCATCTTAATTTCTTTTTCTATTTTACTCCTTTTTCGACCAGTAGGCAATTAAATTTTGATCAGAAAAAAAAAGCTTGGAAAATTTTCACCCATACAGATCTCAGTTCAGATTAAAAAGTTTTATCATTTGGCATCAGCCGCAAACACAGAAAACAAAAATTTTGTAAAGTTCTTGGAATTCCACACATACTTAACGCATTTTGACCATCAGAAACGATAAAAACATCAACGATATGATCGATATACTATCTTTGCCGCGGCGTAATAACTTGGCCAACAATCAGGCGCTATTAAAGGTCGTTAGCTATAGGACCGGACTGCCAATCAATAGTCTGCCCGGATGGGAGCTAATACCGCTAAATTGTAAGCTGCCCATGCTCAAATGCCCAGACAATCAAGTGATATTCTCAAAAAATAAGATCGGACAATCGGTAAGTGCACACATTATTATATTTTTAGATACAACGATAAATTAAAGAGTGATTTAAAATAGGAAATGATTCAAATCGTATTTAAGATTGTATTATTTTACAATGAATATTAATAATGCTTTAATCTTTAGTTTTGTTCAATCAGTCATCTCCAGTCCTCTATTCATTCTCTAAAACTATATATTTTCCATAACCAGTTCAGGAGCACCAGACAGGAGTTCGATGCCTCTGTCACAGACACAATTCCCGAATACAATCCCCTCCATGATTCCAATCTAAAGACATACTATGCCAACGAGCGTAATCTGAAGCGTCTGCGGGAGAACGGCGAAATCACGGACACCAATGATGTAATCTGCAATCTGAAGGACTTCAATCAGTATCGCCAGGAGCTCCACAAATCGCATTTGTATTATGTACTGCAGGCGTACAAGCGACGCGAAGCGGAGCAGCACGATCGTATGCTTATTGCGAATGCAGAGGAGATAACCAAGCGGGATCATTTAAATTTAGCTGCCCGTCATCAATGCTATGAAGAAATTGCAGCTCGCAAGCAACGCATTGCCGAGGAGCGACATCAGCGATTTGTACATCTGTACAGCATAACGACGGAGAAATTTAAGCGTCTGGAGAGTCTAGCTGCCATGCAGAACATGCTCCTTACGCATCGCAAGATGTTGACCAACATGCGTGTACAGGCTCATTTGACGGTCTGTCAGGATCTCCAGCGAAAGCAGCTTATTAAGCTCAAGAAACTGTTTCAGTTCAAAAAGGAACGCTTCAATAAAAATATGCGCAATCTGCAGAAGATTCGGCTAATGAGAAACACCGAAACCCAGATACAATCGTGGAAGAGGCGTCTGGATGAGCGCATATCCAATCAACGGCGCATCCATCAGCTACTTGAGGAGGTAGAAAAGGAACGAGTGGTATTCATTGAGAACCACAAAGCGCGCTATCGCGAGAAATGGGAACAAATACAGGAGGAGATTAAGGAGCGTGCCCATAAAGCAATGATGGCGCGGAAGCCAAAACGTCGAAAGAAGAAGAAGATTCCAAAGAAGATTCCACCTTCATTCTGTGATGAATATCAGGCTACCTTCGATGGCCTACTGGACAGTGAGCTGTGCTATGCACTGAACGCGGCTATTGCTTTGGAAGGACAAGCTCCGGTCACATTTAAGCAGGACGATCCCATCTATAAGAGCGCCCAGTTCATCACAAATTATATATTGCGTGGATTTGATAGGGATCTAAGCGAGGACGAATGCTGTTTGCAAGTGATGGTAGGACGCGTGGAGGAGTTTGTATGTGATGCCAAAAAATATGTGAACTATGTGAGTTATGAATTTGCTCCCTTCCTTCCCCTATAAAACTCTCTAATATTGTTTTTGCAGAAAGCATCGCAGATCATACGCTTTACACGCGACCGCAAGACCGTGGAAATGCCGCCGGCGGTTGCCAAGCCGAACCTTCCGCTCCGCAACCACTCGCGTGTTTCACACGTATCCTTCAGTGGCGTTGCCTGTACAATTGGCGTTGGCAGTTACGAGGTAAACATCAACTATATATGACGACTACTGGCATGACTACTTTATAATTTTTGCATCCTTACACTTGCCAGATACATCCTTTCGTAGACGTGCGCCCTTGTAGCGATCGCCGTCCTACGCCAGCGGGCTCGTTAACCTCTCTGGTCGTCAGCCAAATAGGCGAACAAGTCATACAGGAGAAGGTGCGATTGCCGCATTTAAATCGAAACGAAATTGTCTTCATCGAGCATTATTTGGTCAAGTTTAAGCGGGAGCTGCTGGTCGGCATGGACAAGCAGGTATTTACAGCCATACAGTGTCACTTTGAGAATCGCATCATGGATGTACGCGAGGAACTGCTCGAGTTGGACAGGAATTTCCTTTTCGATCAAATCGCACGCGGTATTTTGAGCTATGCCGTCAATTCTCTTAACTATGAGTCCAGTCTGAAGCTGGCTGTCAGCGTATTGTCAAACGAAATAATTTGGGAGCTGCAACAGTCGTTGCTTAAGCCGGGCATCGATCCGAGAGGTATTACGCATCCCAGTAGCTGTGGGCCCGAAAGCCGCGATAGCTACTCACTATGCCAATAACATTGAATCGAAAGCAGCAAGGACGAGTTGTATCCACCGACACTTTCTTATAACAGATACGATGTTTCGCAATTGTGACGTACAAATTTAATGTGTAATAAATGTAGAGCACTTACCTACTCCTATATTTAATTCGTTCGAAACCTAATAGTGCTGTCTTCCAACAATCTCACTCAATTTTCACAATATTGTACACAGAATTGTAAACACAACACAAAACTACACACAAGCATGGTGCTGCACATGCAACAGCTGGCCATACGACCAGGGTTGCCACTTCGTCGCCACCCATTTGGCATTTATTGCGGTTCGTTGGTACTCATATTTGTACTCTTATTCAAATAATGGCTAAATATTTTACTAATTTATGATTTTGAATTCATGATTTTAAAGTGGGATATGGACAAAGATGTCTAATGCTCCCACGTGTAATCAAGCAGGACATCCAAATTAGTGTTATTTTCCAATTAAAATAAATTAATAAATGTGACATATGTGTGTACCTGTGTACTTATGTGTATATATGTACATACACATGTTTAATCAAAATTAATTGCGAAATTCATTTAAGTCAAAAATTAAGAAGTAACCACGTAGGTTTATTGACTGTGGGTTCGTCGTTTATTCCCTAACGGAACAAATATATAACTAGCACTTCTAGGTTTGGTAATTGCGCATGCCATAGGGATAAATCATTGGGTTATAGTGGGCGCCGGTAGCAAACAATGGAAATGGAAACGTTTGTTTGAAGATTTTTTCTGCAGACTGAGCATTTGACTGCTTTTCATTTCGTTTACGTTTTAAGTGGATTTCATCGCTAGAATTTGCTTCGCTTGATTCCGCTTCGCTCGAGTCTTCATCTTCATCGCTTTTCTCCGCCTTTGCTTTGGACTTCTGCTTAACTTTTGAATTGGAGTGCATTTGCATTTTAGACTTGGCTGTGGGGGACATCAAATGGCACAGGTCTTTGTTAAATGAACAGAACTGCTTCATAGAAAATTCCATGAAATTTTGTAAAGCAATATTTAAGTTTGGCGGATTAGGGCAGTTCTTCATGCAGTGATATGGCGCCGAGCAGTTTTTGCAAATCATCTGACATTCAAACGAACTGTGTCCCTAAGTGAAATATTACTTTGTTGATTATTGTTATGTATGAATTAATTTGTTTTTAGAACATACCTTCTTATCACAAATAATACACTGCTGTGCAGTCTTTGGATTTGATATCCCGTTATTAACTTCTAACTCTTCATATACATCCTCAACGTCATCCTCACTATCACTGTCCAGGGTGAAATTTCGGTTCAAATTTCCTATGCATACCACATCTTCCTCCTCCGATGCAGTGATTTTACTAGAGTTGATCTTCCGCGTGGGGGCAACTTCATTCGTTCTATAAAGCTTATCCGATTTGACTCTCAACTCGCCTTCTTCGAAGCTTGCGTCGGAACTTCTTGGTGAGCTTGAGTTACTTTCCGCCGACTCCTTAGATGGTGCCACTTCGGTACTTTTTTGTTCTTTCTTTATGTTAGGCAGACTCGTTTTTAACTGCGTCGAGCTTGAGTTACTTGCCGCCGACTTCTTAGATGGTGCCACTTCGGCACTTTTTTTTTCCTTTTTTATGTTAGGCAGATTCGTTTGTAACTGCGTCGGTAATGACCAAGCATCAAGTCTCCCAGCTTGTACTATTGGCTGTGCTTCTACAGCTGGGGCGGCATCACGGTTAGTCACAATTAGAGCAGGATTAACCCTTTCGTTTGTGTTCTCCGGACCATTAACTTCAAACAATTCTGATCTAAAACGAGCATAGCCTCGCGGTCCGTTTCGAGTCGCTTTTGCGCGATTGTGTCTTCTAAAAACCCAATAATTCAGACGATCCAATGCCCTAAGTCGTGGATTGTTTGGAAAATTGTAGCGGCTTCTGCCTATTTTACTGAAACTTTGCCTGTCACCCATTTGAGGGCTGTCCTTTTGGCTGCCAGTACCACCACTCGCAGCGTTGTTGCGGTCCCATTGCATTCTAGAATTTGATGTGACGATCGGGACAGAATCTACCGTGTTCGTGTCCATTGCTGGTCCAAGTCCGAAATGATAGATTGAAAAAAAAATCGATGGTTCTGTTTCTATCGATATATCTTTTTTTGTGGTACTATCGACAGTTAATACTTCATGAAATTATGATTTACTAGCGGCCCGGTATGTGCTTCGCTACGTATAAATTGAAAAAATAAAAAAATGTAATTGGAACATCTAATTTATTTATGCAAACAAAAAAATATTTTATTAATTGCTAGCTATTTTAAAACTTAATCCAAAACATTTGGATAAACATTATTTTTTGTTTTTCCATTTTGAGCATGAATAAACAAACGGCTGGGGCTACCGATTTTGGAACAGGCAACATAAAGTTGGCCATGTGAAAAACATGATTCCTCCAAATTCACTCCACAAACGTGAAGTGTTTGCCCTGTTGCCTTGTTGATGGACATCGCAAATGATAAACGCACAGGATATTGTAATCGTTTACCGCTCGACCGATTTTGTACAAACTTCACATAAACCATCTACAAAATAGTCCGAGCAAAGTCTAAACATTTGGTTTATATACATAGGTGAGTCCGTTCTTGAGTTATAAAATTACAACGAAAAGTGGCATTGAGTTTTATATATGTACATATGTATATACAAGTAGATAATGCAAAACGGGCACACTATTTTACATTTTAAAAATTAACCCAATCATCATTTTCCAAATGCCTGGTTGGCCTTTCTTAATTTAGCTGTTAAATAATAATCTACACCATGTCATATGATGCGTTTAATCGTTTACAGTTATGTATGTATTTATATTCTAATTTCTGTAGTTGGGGATTATCTAACTTTGGAAATTGAAAGCCGCACCATATGGGTAAATCATTGGGTTGTAGTGGGCGGCGGTAGCAAGTACAGGAAATGGAAACGATTGCTTGGATATTTTAGATGCTATTGGGACGTTGGACTGTTTGGCATTACGTTTGCGTTTGGGATGCGGTTCATCGCTAGAATCTGCTTCACTTGATTCTGTTTTGCTTGAATCTTCATCAGTTGTTTCGCCTTCATCTTCATCACTGTTATCCACCTCCACTTTGGACTTTTTCTTGGCTTTGGAATTTGAATTCTTATCCGAGCGCTTATCCCTTTTCGATTTTGATGCTGAGGACATCATAACCGATACGGGTGCAGCAGCAGGAAGCAAGAGGCGCGGGTCCATGTTGAATAGGCTGAATTGCTTCATTGAAAATTCTATGAAGCTTTGCAACGCAATATTTAAGTTTGGCGGGTTAGGACAATTCTTTAAGCAATGATACGGCGCCGAGCAGTTTTTGCAAATCATCTGACATTCAAAAGAAGTGTGACCCTGAGACAAAAATAAGATAATTATTGTGATATGTGAGTAAGTTATTCTTAAGGACTTACCTTTTTATCACAGATAATGCACTGCTCTGCAGTCTTTGCATTTGCTTTTCCCTTTTTCACTTTTAACTCTTCTTCATCCTCACTATCACTGTTCAGGGAAAAATTCCGGTTTATGCTCCCTACACATACCACATCTTCTTCCGATGGCAGTTTCTTAAGTTTCTTCCCACTTTTAGTATTGGCATTTTTGACAGATTTTGTTCGTTCCGGTGAAGAATTGTCCTCACTTGACGAGTCTTCTGAACTAGTGCCTTTTTTCGAGCTGGACCTCGGCGTGGCGGCAACTTCGCTGGTTTTATTTAGCTTTTCAGATTTGGCTCTCACCTCGCCTATTTCTAAAGTGTCATCTGAGCTTTCTGATGAACTTGAGCTGCTTTTCGCCGGCTTTTTAGGTGCCACTGGGGTACTTTGTTTCTCCTTTTTTATGTTTGCTATATTGATTTGAGGTTGCGTGCACAAAGGTGTAGGGGGTTGTTGTGGTATACATGGTTGAGGTACAGTTATTTGTTGTACAGGTGGCTGTTGTTCTACCACTGGCTGAACAACAAGGTTATGAAAATTAGGCGAAGGATTGACTTTTTCTTTTTGCATCTGCACGTGCTCTGCATCTTCAATAAAGTCGAATTTCCTGTGGGACGGACCTTGCATTCCTTCTCGGAGTTGTGCATTTTGGTGATCATGGTTAGAATGGCGTTGATTACTGTCCCGAAACTTACAAAACGAGTTTTCATTGGAATTATTTACATTATAAGATCTTTGATTATTTTTCTGTGAGTTGTTGCTTAATTGATTATTGCCTCCGTTTTTTGATTCTCGATTATAGCTACTGTTCATTTTACTCCAATTTTGCCTGTCGCCGCCTCTACCTTTTCCCCCGCGTTGGTTGTGCCTCCGCCTGCCTCCGCGACCACCGTCACGTCTGTCTCTGCGACCACCGTCCTGCGCCCTGCCACCACCGTCCTGCGCTCTGCCACGGCCGCCGCTACGACCGCGTCCGTATTCTTCGCTACCACCACCACCATGGCCTCCGCCAGCATCATAGTTGTCACATTGACCCCAATTTGATCCTTCTGAATTCATTGCTTCTCCAAGCCCGAAATCGATGTATGGAATCGCACGTGTTGAATGGCAGGGTTGCCAGCTGATTAAATAATACTTTGCCTTCGAGCGAAAGCGCTGCGAACTTCCAGTGTATTTATGAAAATCCTAAGTCTTTTGTTTTTAAGTACTCAGTAAAAAGTTCTTTGCTCAAAAAACTAAAAAAAAAAACAATAATTGGCGAGAATGTGCTCAATTAAGCATTTAGCTTGGCGCCTTGAGTTCCAACAGATATACAACACTGAAAAAATACTCGTGCACGGTCTTAACAAATACTCAACAAAAGTTGCCACCTTAGAAAATATCATATTTGTGTGCACCCTCTAGTTTCTGCTTCATCTATAAAGGCAAGGACGAGTGTATTTGTTTTCTAAACATATTTCTTTCAATTAAGATGGCCCCACCGAAAAAACCTCCGTATCAGAATAATTTTGAGCGTTCCAAAAATTGGGGCAAAGTAAAGTTCAAACCGAATGTAGGCGCAATGTCCAATTTATCCGTCCAAGGAGCTGCTGCCATGTTATGGAAAGACGTCAAAAACGACATCATCAACGACGAACGGGAACAACGGCATGCTATGCAAGTCGACATGGGCAGTGATCAAGCCAAAAAGTGTATTAAACAACGTGAGCATAACCATCGACGCAATCAAATTGAATCCAAGCGCAGTCAGCCAACGAAGTGGGAATCTTTTGAAGATAATGCCGGCAATAAGAAACAGCAGTTCCAGCACAAGGCCAACAAACAGGCTAAGCCTAAAGTCCAGATTCCAACATTGGATCCAAAAAACCTGACGTATGAGCAACGCAATTATTTTCGTCGTAAACTTACGAAGGCCACAATCAAAGCAAAGGGCACTCCCTTAAAAAATGTTATACACGATTTCAAACAATACGGAGTTCTGCGTCGCCGAAAAGAGTAGGAATTGTTTTTGTGGTATGGACAATTTAGAAATGGTATACACAACATACTACACAATTTATGTATCGTAAAACTTAGGAATAGGAGTACAAGTGCATAAGTCTGCAAATAAATATATAACTAAATACAATGAGACGACGACGGTTGCTAAAGTGTTTGAATTGTTGTTCTTGTTACTGTTGTTGTCTGTGCGTGTGTGTCTGCTTGTCAGCCAAACTCAACCATTTGCATTGGCCAGCTTGGCAATGAGCTGATTGTATTTACTGTTGTTAGTAATGGCCTTCTTCGAGTTGCGCGCATGTTCTGGCGCATTTTGAAGAAAGTAGATGACAATAAATTCGAGAGTCTGATTGGCCTCCTTGGGATACATCATATTGAAGGTATAATAGTAGCATAGCAATTGAGAAATGATGTCAGGGATGAGGGCATCGATGGTGGTGGAGGTGAAGGTGGCCATAATTTGGCCTTCAATGTAAACCATTGCATCTGTTTGTGTTTCAGCGCCGGCAGTCGTTGGTGGAGTATCTAAAAAGAGATAAGAGAATTATCATTAAAATGTAATTTAAATAGATCGGAGGTACAGCTACTCACTGACTAGAGCCACCCAAGGCGCATTGGTTGGATTTACGTGCTGTAGCGTATCCTTTGCGAGTGGGCCTTTATCCATCTGCTTAAATATGTAATCTGGGTCTTCATTAAAGAAATAAGCTATGCCGCGAACCACATTGGCATTGCTTTCCTCCAGCCCGCTTATTTTCTTATTTTTTGAAGTTTTAAAAAACTTGAAGATTCGCTCTTTTTCTGCAAGGAATCTTTTCTCCAGCACAAGCGGATCAATGGACATGAGCAACTCAAAATGCTGGTAGAGCATATCCTTGTTAAATATATACGGCCAGTTATCTTTAATGGACGTAATGTCGGGAATTTTTTCACTATTGTTGAAGAAGGCTCGCTGCAATGGAAAGCATTCCTTCATATATTCCGCAATTGTAGCTGGCTCCACCGTCGCACTGCCACGATAACTGGAGATCAGCAGTGCCTTTTTATTGTCAAGATCGCGATTGACAGCCATAGCTTGAACATCACCATTTGCTGCAACCAAGCCGTTGCCATTGCTCGTTTTTCGTTTTTTGGCGGCTATATGTATTTCGAATTTCCCAGAGCTCTGGCGTTTCTGCGGTCTGTTTAATGCATTATTGCGATTGATCATTTTCGAGATAAGCGATTGTGGCGTGGTGGCAATAAGCTGGCCCTCTCGATCCTTCTCCAACAACGAGTCAGGATACTTTTCAGCCGCCTGTTGAGCAACTTGACGGAAGACTCGAGTGGGTATGTGAGCCGAACGCTCACGTAATGCGTCCACCAGAATATTGCCGAGCGTATTTAAACGCTTTCCCAGACTGTTCTTGCTGCGTAAAAGTTTCATAATTTCGTTGGGTACCTTGTTCCAAGGTATCGAGAAATCTTTAAACAGCGCCGTCGTCTTTGAATTGCTTCCACTAGCCGAGGCACTGGCCAATGATAATGTCTCGTCATTTGAAACTGTAGAGTCATTGGCATTCGACACCAAGCTGTTGTTGGCATAAAAACTGGGATCTACTGAACTGCCAGCACGATCGGATCGATTTAATGGCGACGGAGGAGGTAGGATTACGTACTCATCATTTTCGCTTAGTAGCATGAGTAATATTTTTTCCTTAGCTGCGAAAACTAGGACTTCATCTTCGCAAATTTCACACCCATTGGTTTCCAATACAATTGTGTTTCCTGACAATCCGAATTTATGCGCTAAAAATATATGGTTAAAAAATTGTATTTAATACTGATAAATTGAGTCCTAATAACGCACCTTTTTCAATAACATCTTTCCTACTGGGCAACGACATAAATGTCTTTTTATTTTTGCGATCGGCGCTGCATATTGTAATCAATACTTTTTCAATGGGCGATTCCACGCTTGTCTCATTTTGCGCTTTTTCGCCTGTAACATTGGAATGTGTCTCTACAGTTGGATAAACAATAATACAAGCTCATGTTAAACATGTAAATAATTCCACACCATTCAGAAAAACATACCAATAGCGTCCGCAGGTTCTGATTTTTTTGGTGTATCTACTTTTGGTTTTTGTACACCATTTTCGTTCACATTCGCCGCAGCGGTTGCGGACGCCGGGGGTGTTTGTTGTTCCTGCTGCTGCTTGCCCTCGTGAGCCTGCAATATTGCCGCTACAGGGGCGGCGTCCAAGTCCATGGCTTATACTGATAGCTTAATTAATATTATTAATAATTGTTTTAAGCCAAGCCTTCTTTTTATTATTCGTTGCAAATTCCGTACAAACCAACTTTAGGGATGCAAAATGTAGTGATATGTTTTTTCGCGACAGCGTTCGATAACAACTGCAACCGCCGCGGCTTTCAATCGAACACACTCGCACGTTTTGCAGCACTGTCGAGCCGCTCTGTGGGTGGTCCTGCTGCTTCCACTTCGTTGTACATAGCCGCTCATTTGTTGCTTTCGCGTCTTCAAAGACGCATTGGTTTTTGTTTTCTGCTTTGTTTGTTTTATTTTTTGCGTTTATTTATCGCCGCTCAAGGCATCTGCAATAAATAGCCATTAAATATAAAACGTGCGCGGCATAATAAAAACTTTAGAAATATGCACTGAAAGGCAACAAAAGGAGCGGCATTCCAGAGCCATTTGAATTTGGATTTGTGTCTTCTATATAGATTCTTATGAAATAAATTCAAGACTGTGTGTGTAAGCTTCATATACGGAAATGTTTGCGTAAGTTTGATAACGCTCTGGGCGATCACAATTTAATATAATCATTATAATGAATTCCAGATATTTGGTGTCTACCTGCCTTTTGCTTGTCTGCGGTTTAACTGTCGTTCATGGCAGCTCTAAATTCAGCAGCACAACCCAATCAAGTGTTTCACAAATCGATCTTGATCCAATAACCGAGACTTTAAATTACCGCATCTTTGGCAAGAAAGCCAATGAAAACAAAATGCGTTTCGATGGATTGGACGTACAATGCGTACGACATGGGCGTTGTATTCCCGTAGATCCAGAATATAGCACTTGTTTTGGCATTAAGTTACCCTACAATTATACTAGCCTCGATCTCACAGATTTCTACAAGAAGGAGAAACTGAACGAAGTACTGAGCGGTTATCATGCATCCTTGCGTCATGTGCCCAAATGCTGGGCTGTAATTCAGGTGAGAAGACGCAATAAATTTGCTGCTAAGGTTTGAACATGTTTTGAGGAATGCCACATTTAATTTACAGCCATTTCTATGCGCCGTTTTTAAGCCGAAATGCGAGGAAATTAACGGAAAGGAGATGGTCTACCTGCCTTCCCTCGAAATGTGTCGCATTACCCTTGAACCCTGTCGCGTCCTTTACAATACGACATTCTTTCCAAAGTTTCTGCGCTGCAACGAAACCCTCTTTCCATCTAAGTGTAGCAATGATGTGCGCGAAATGAAATTCAATGTTACCGGTAGTTGTCTAAAGCCACTGGTATCAACAGATTCGAGTGCCAGCTATTATCCGGGATTTGATGGTTGCGGCGTACAATGCAAGGATCCATTGTATACGGACGATGAGCATCGGCAGATACAGAAGCTTATCGGCTGGGGTGGCACTTTGTGTCTTTTGTCCAATTTATTTGTGGTGGCCACGTTTCTTATCGATTGGAAAAATGCAAACAAATATCCCGCACTAAATGTTTTCTACATAAATCTCTGCTTTTTAATCGCTTGTATTGGGTAAGTAATATCAAGAGTTCTGTAATTATCTACAAATAAACTCAATCCGATTTTTCGTAGACATTTAAGAATGCATGTAATTCAATTATATTATCTTTACTTTTTGATATATATTTTAGTGAGTTTCAAGCAAGCAAAGAATTTGTTTATTTGCATAGCTTTTAAATTATAGATTTCAATTATCATTGCAAGCATCTGGTTTTAATCGACAATATGTAGAAGAGCAGATAACCTTATATATGTACGTAGATTGCCTATGGTTTTATCTGACTTAAAAAATGCTCTAATCGTGTAATACAGCGTTAGTACTGTGGCCCCAATACCATTATCATAATCGTAAATATTTATGCTTTACATACATTGAACATTTATCTTTTAGGTGGCTCCTGCAATTTACATCTGGATCACGTGAAGATATCGTATGCCGTAAGGATGGCACACTGCGTCAGTCGGAGCCATCAGCCCGCGAGAATTTGTCCTGCGTTGTAATATTTGTTATGGTATATTACTTCCTTACAGCGGGCATGGTTTGGTTTGTCTTCCTCACCTATTCCTGGCACTGGCGGGCCATTGGACGCGTCCAGGCATGTGTCGACAAAAATGGTTCTTACTTCCATTTGGTCGCCTGGTCGCTACCGCTAGTTTTGACAATAACAACAATGGCCCTAAGCGAGGTATTTATATATACTATATTCATATATACATAAAATTTGTATTCGCATATATTTTTCTGTAGGTCGATGGCAATGGCATTGTGGGAATCTGCTTTGTAGGATATATCAATCATCCAATGAGAGCTGGCTTCCTACTGGGCCCGCTTGCCGGTGTCATACTCATTGGAGGTTATTGTATAATACGCGGGATGGTGACTCTCTTTAATCTAAAAAAATACACCAACGAAATCAAATCGACATCGGCCAGCAATCGTCTACACTTTATGATAATGCGGATGGGTATTTGCGGCTTGCTTGTGCTTACCTTTATTCTGGTGGTCATTGCATGCCACGTAACCGAGTTCCGGCATTCTCACGAATGGGCGTTAAGCTTCCGGCGTTATATAATGTGAGTAGAAAGTGATTTAATGTATTGGGTTGGTATATCTGACGAAACGAACGAATCGAATTTCTGGGATGCAAAGCTAATTTTTTTGTTTATTGGTTGCACTCCTGTTTCTTTAGACTCTTGTGCAATTATAATATACACTTTTGTTGGCATACAAGCTAAAAAACTAAGTTTTATCAATTTTATATCTAATTTGGTACTTGCAGATGTCGTATTACTTCCGTTTTTGACGAGCACAGGGTTTGCAAGCTCGAAAATCGTCCGAGCGTTGCGATCCTACAGTTACATCTTCTTTGTCTCTTTGGCTCTGGAATACTCATGTCTACATGGTGCTGGACGCCATCCTCAATCGAGACCTGGAAGCGTTACCTCAGAAAGTAAGTGCAGAGGCAGGCTAGCTTTGAATCGTTTACTAAAAAAATATAATTTATTGCAGAAAGTGCGGCAATGAAATTGTGGAGGACGTCAAAATGCCTAAGCACAAGGTGATCGCTCAAACCTGGGCGAAACGCAAGGACTTTGAGGACAAGGGCCGCGTGTCTATAACGCTACATAATACGCATCCTGATCCGACGCGTCTTAATGACGGCGCAAACGATGTGAGTTCGGTGGAAACGAATGAAATCAGCACTACATGGGTCAACAATCTGATGCAGTTCATGAAACGCCGAAATGCGTTGCCCGGTGCGGCAGCCACAAACTCATCCAGTCAGGGACCGACAACACGCAAGAATTCGTTGGACTCAGAAATCAGCTTCAGCGTGCGTCATGTATCTGTGGAGTCGCGTCGCAATTCTGTGGACTCGCAAGTCTCGGTGAAGATTGCCGAAATGAAGACTAAAGTGGCATCGCGCGCACGCAATCATCACGGTAAACATGGTGGCGGATCGACCTCGAGCAGGAATAAACGTGCTGGCCGTCGCAGCGATTTCATGGCATCGGCAACGGCCGCTTACGGACGGAAATCCAGCGGGCGACGCGAGAGCAGCACGTCTATTGAGTCCCAGGTCATAGCCATGCAAAAGTTGACCTATCCAAATGCTAGTCAGAAAGTGGGGATATTTGCGCGTAGCACCAAATCCAAGCATCAGTCCATGAAGCGGCGCAGCGCTAATGCAGGACTGGATCCCGCCGTAATTGGGAATTTATTGCAGCAAAATGGTGACATCTATTCCTTTTGGCAGAATCAAGGCATGTCCACCTCATCGGAAGAGGAAACTTCATGCAAAATTCAAGATCCGAATGTTGCAGACGCTGACGATGATTATGATAGGGGCATTGTAGAATTAGTTCCCGCTATTCAAGAGCCCTATGAATCCTCCAGCAACAACAATAACAAAAAGCAGGCTGCTGCATTGGAACATCTGTTAAAGAACATGCACAAATCCAACGATTCCAATGGCAATCGTCAGTCCCGCAACTCAACCCGCAGCCGCAAATCTCAGAATACAAAATCTACAGCGGCTATGAATAGCGGTGCAGCGAGCAGTAAGCGCTCAAGGAGCACAAGAACCAACAAAGAGCGCACAAATCCCAAAACCCTAGGCTGTGAGGATTTGATGGATTTCAATGCGTTCTATACTCGTGGGTTAATGGCCGCAAATGGTGAAACGCTGAGTTGTTCCTCTGCAGAACTGGAGCTCGATTTACCCATGGGCACTACGCATTCGTCCTATTCGGGCATGTCCTTGGGCAAGCCCAACTCGCGCAACAGCAAGACAAGCTGTGATGTAGGTATACAGGCCAATGCATACGAGATAGCCGCCTCCTATGGTGATGATGAGCTTCAGAATGCAATGCGTCTGCTGAATGCGGCCAGTCGTCAACGCATGGAGTCGGCGCCAGAGGAGGCCACGGAGCTACAAACACTGCTGGGTCACAATCAAAGGCATAGAGAGCCGCATTTCATGAGCGAATCGGAAAAGCTTAAAATGCTGCTGCTACCATCGAAGTGAATCTATAAATCAAACGATCGAAAAATGAAACTCGAAACAAACTGCATTTACTTAAAAGCTCAAACCCTTCCATTTATTTCCGTGCATCAAAATACTCATAGCCATTAAGTCCATGAATGCTCACAATAAGTAAACAAACATACACACATACATCAACAAAAATATACCACATCGCTCCATTATTTGGATCTAGCATTTAAAGTGTACATGACTGTTTCCTTAAACTAGACTTTAGACGTATTTAATTATAACTTTGTACCGAACTCCAATGGGCCAACAAGGACATCGATTATCGAATAAGTTATGTACGAGATACTATATATCGTACCTATTACAAGTGCCTGCATGCTGATTTTACAGTTAACATTTTGTAACTAATTTAAGGTATATATAAATATATATCATTTTTAATAGAGTTAAGTTTACATTTTTAACATTTTGTAACTAATAAATCGATTTTAAATCCTTAAAACCCATCCCACCAACATCCAGAGTATTTAACTGAAATTCCACGTGACCGACTTGAAATTCTTCCACTACAAATCTGGCAATTGTGTAATTAACTTTTGTAAAATATGCTTTCCAATTTCCATTTCTTGAAATATCAACATTAAAAGGAATAGTTATTTAATAATTATTTTTAACAATGGTCAGTTTTTTTTACACAAATTGTTGGCACAATTTTCCTAGATATTGAGTAATTCGTTCAAGAGCATTAATTAAAAAATATAGGAATGCTTATTCTCACCAAATTCTTTTAAAAATGGGAAAACCCCCAAGAAATTAATGGGGAAAAACTCCTAGAAATGCGCTCTTTTCATTTCATAAATCATATTTAGCTCTGCTTGATCTTCTGCTGCTTGAGGAGCTTAAATTCTGGTTCCCAGACAATGCTATTGATCACCTCACCAAGTAAATAGCAAAACAAATTGAAGCCCAGCAAAGCCACTAGCATCAAATAACGCATTGGCATACTAAGTGGCTGGAATAGAAAGGTAATTAATGGATGGAATATACTTCCATAGCGTTGAACTCACCTCAAGCAGCGGATAGACCCACTGGCCACTAAAATACCGCACAATGTGCATCCAAATGATGTAGAGGAGCATGAAGCTAACATTGCCAGTGATGCCGGCCAAGCGGCTGGGGTAGCGCCGGAAGCAGGTGAACAAATCCATAATTGCCAACAAGGCAACATTAGTGTGGACTACATGATTCAGCCAGCTTGGAAAAATGGCATCAAGAGCCGTAGGGAAAATCAGCTCACGATCCCATATATAGATGACCCAAAAGGAAATGCAAACATTATGCGCCACAGGAAAGGCGAACGCGGCGAATATATAGTCCCGTATAATTCGCAACTTTGACTTGGACGCGGTATTTAGCGTATTATCACCGAATAGATCGTTTAGTAGGGCCAGTGTATGATAAATGGCCTGAATGATAACATCGAGGAATGTCAAATACTTAAACTTTCCGCCCCAGCGCGTCTTCAGTTCATCTTCCTCGTGCAGCCCTTTGGGCCAGTGCACATTAAAATAATGATAATAAATTCCATACGAAAACTGAGCGGCGGCCAACAAATGAACCAAAAAACGGAGGTACTTAAAAGCACCCGATGTGTAGGCATCGTTGCAGGTCTCTAACTGTACATTGTTGGCCTTTGCTGCCTCGGTGGCAGCGTATTGCTCTCGTAGCTGCTTCTTACTTTTTCCCATTGCTCCTGGTATTGGTTGATACGCTCCAAGTATTGCGAAAATAATTTCTCCCGTAACCAAAACAAAACAAACAATCCACACTGTCAACAGCTGTCAACGTTAGCGAGGGCTGCAGCATTAGCATTGCTTAATTTGTAATTGTTAAAGCGCATGTTCGCTGTGCACCTTTCAGTGGGTCACAATCTATTTGACAAAGTTCAAGAGTTGCTCAAAGCTTACAAAATCAAATTACTTTATTTAAGATGGTTTTAAATAAAAAAAATATATATCTATTTAATAATAAATTAGTCATCTTTTTGGGTTGTTGATTGACTATTGCGGAGACTAACATAACACTTTCAGCTATTTCTGCCAGACAACTCGTCTCTTCAGCTTATTAAAATTGGATTTATCATAATCTTCAATAAATTAAAATGTCTGGCTTTGAGATTGAACTTGCAGTGGAACAGTTTTGTGACTAAACATCTGTATATCTATTAATTTGAATATTACTTTATGAGTAAATCGCATCTCTTTTGTTGTAATTTATTAGCTCCAAGCCTACAGCCCAAGCCTACTTCAACAGCTTATCAAAAAGACTGAATCACATGTATTTGGTTAATTTTTTACGTTTAAAAAGTTTGTCGAACGATGCCTATATTGTACATTTTCAACAATTTGTTCGGCATCTTCTACATGCGTAGTTTTAAAAATGATGCTCTACTTGTTAATATTATAGCACAGCTGAATTGAATGGAACGTAGAAATTTGAAGGGACAACATATTTTCTTTACCTTTTACACAATAAAACAAATTAGTTGTGCTATGAATTGGCGCATATTTGATTTTTATCGTAGAGCTAGAGAAATTTTTCACTACATCAAAAACCTGTGGTCCACTGTACTTACTTATAGTTTGATTGATTTCCTAATAAGTGCATTCGCATGCAAATCAGGTGTGTGTACATTGTTTGGCGCCACTCTTTAAAATTCAAATTATGTAACTATACGTTATGAGCATCCGTTAACTCCCAAAAAGTAAATGCATTATTAGTTATATTTGATTTTTATTAGAATGACTTTCTGGAAATTACAAATGTAACGAAGGTGTTTCAAAATTGTTGCTGTGCCTTGGTTTCTTTATTTTCTTTGATATGAGTTTGGTTGCAATTAAGTAGGAAACAAAACGCTGACTAATGCATTTAAGTTTAAACTGCAATATATATGTATATCGTAAACTACAGCTACTACTAACCTCAAAATTTGTTGCATCAATTGTATGTGTTGTTGTAATACGAATATCATAAGAAAGTTTGGCTCTATATGATAAACATTTGCATTTATATAGTTTATGTAAAATATAAGCAAAAAACATGCTCTTTTAATAGTTGCAAAATTGATCAAATACACGCAAGCGCACACACATATTGACATTATTGACTATACACACACAGACAATAGCCTGTACACAGCCTAGGTTGACTTGCGCTTGGCGAGCTTTACTTCCTTGGCCCACACAATGTTGTTCAGAAACTCGCCGAGCAGGTAGAGGGCAAAGGTAAAGCCAAGTACGGCCACAAAGAATACAATGCGTTGAGGCAGCTGCAGCACCTCCAGCACTGGATAAACCCATACGCCCGAATAGTGTTTAATAATGTGAATCCAGATCAGGTAGCTGACCATAAAAATGGCTAAGCCAGTGAGGCCCTTGCTGCGCTTCGGATAGGCCCGGTATGAGGTGAACAACTCCAACACAATAAAAACCATAATATTCGTGTGCAAGACATGATTAAGCCAGCTGCAGGGCAAAACAATATGATACATTAATAGAAACAAATTTAATTTTACAGCTATTGCCGCTTGACGAACCTTGGAAATACAGGATCCAGCACTTTAGGAAAGACCAGTTCGCGATCAATGGCATATAGGGTCCAGAAAGTGACACCGACATTAAGCGCCACGGGAAAAGCTAAAGTAGCCATCAGATAATCCTTAAATTTGCGTATAGTTGGCGCATTTTTAGGCGCTAGCTCATTTGTTCCGACAAAATCATTGACCAAAGAGACCACGTAATACAGCGCTTGTATTATCTGTAAGTATACGTAAGGCAATCGTTAGACACACGAAAGTTGTTAAGGGTTGTTGTTGTTGATGGCTGTTAAGTGAAGTGGAAAGAATTACTAATCACTGGAGCACGCAAACCAGTTATCCAATAGAGAGACACTCAGAAATTTAGATAAGATTTAAACAGCTCTTCCGCTTTTTACACCTGAACTTTGCCCCAAAGCTGTGTCCGAGTCCGAATAATTGATTCTTCATGCTTACCGCATCCAAAAATGTTAGATATTTGAACTTGCCACCGAACGGATGGTATATAACAGCATCGTTACTTGAGGTGGCTGGAAAGTGGACGTAGTTGTAGTCATAAAATATGCCATAGCTGAACTGTACGGCAGCTACCAGATGCATCAGAGTTCGCAGAGAGCCATAAATGCCTTCATAAACCCTATTTACACTAGATGTGGCCATTCCCGTGCAAGAAATTGATTTATCAACCGGCCAATGAAAACAACAAACACAAACTGACCAATAACTCAAAGCGCCTACCGAATCAGAGGGCTGCCAACCTGGTGGTTTTTGTTTTTATCGATAGGCCATAGGCCTGGTGTTGTAAAACAACATTTTTTCGTCTTACCGCACATAAAAACGTTAGGAACTTAAATTTGCCGGCAAATGGGTGCATTATGGATGCAGGCATTTGGACACGCTCATGGAAAAAATATACTCCATAGCAGAATTGTACGACAGCGGTAATGTGCAGAAGAAGCTTTACAGCTTGATTAAAACCAACTGACGTGGAACCTTTAGCCTTCGATTTCGTTTTTGCCATAGTACCGAGCTACTTCACATACAAAAGTCCAAAGCGTACTGATTAGGCAGTGTCAGCGAAAGCGACTAATAGCATGAGTACGTATGTATGTATGTACATGCATTCATATGTACATACGAAATACAATCCCCCTCACATAATGTACCTACATATGAGCACATACAAACATTAAACGATGTGTATAATTTTGCTGATAACGCGACTCTTATCATCAATGGCGGTGCAAAGGGGCTGCAGTCTGAATAGATGTAGTGTGGCATAAAAATAACTCGAGTGCAGGAGAAAGTAAATATTAAGGGTGCACTCAAATGCAGAGCGTCTAAAAATGTAAAAAGGGAGGAGTGGCATAAACTATGAATAGATGTGCTAATGCGTATAGCGCTTGGTTATTGAATCCGCTGCTGTCTTTTTACTGCGACAACGAACACCAACTATCGATTTCATTTCAATGTTCGTTACCCGCAACATCATAATAATGGAGACGTCTGAAGGTCAAGGAGCAAGAGCAACCGCACGTCATACTCTTCGTGCGCCACTGTTGCTCATTAAAAATATTTCTACTCCCGTTTTAATTATCAAGGTGAGCGGCCCGTGAGTGTGAAGGTGCGTCACTTGGCCGGCTTATTGATTGACCATTAAGTGGTGCCCCCAGCACATGTGTTTTTTTTATGAGGAATGTTAATCTACATCCATATGTCTAATTATATGCTTATGCTGACGCCTACACTATTTAGTGCTTCATGGAATGGAAAAATGAAAATTGCGTCCCCTCCACCATGGCATCAGATGATATGAATGTCCCCCGCATTGTATAAGTACCTATATTTAAAGTTTATTATTCCTATAATGGTAATAATAATGGCATTCTGGGAAATTTAGACGCTTATTATGCATATATATATTTACAAATATAAACACAAACTCAAGGGTTTAATAATTGTTATATGTCTTTAAATAAAAACGTTGGGCGCTTTTTAATGACCAAAAGATTTACCCAAATATTGTATATATTCATTAAATTGAGCTAAAGCTTCGGAATGGTTAGGCTTATCACCGGTCCATATTCACGAGTAAATTCTAAACGTGGTTTTTTTAGCAGAGGCTACAGGATATACAAAGTCTACTAATTTGGACCAAACTATCATAGTCTTTTTTATGGCCATGATTTTTTTTCTTGAAGCATACAGAAATGAAGAAACCTCAGTCTATTGCCCCAAATATTAAACAAGTTGTTAATATTATATTCGATGTGAATATCTTATAGAGTTGTGTATTTAATTTGAATAAAATTGAATAATCCAATAAGGGGAAGAAATATCTAACAGTTGTTGGGTTATTTTATTGCTTGTAAGTAATGGTTATACCTATTTTTCTTGTTATGGTTCTATGTTTTCTTTTCTATTCTAACTTTTTATAGCCCATCACTATTTGGCAGTCTCCTCCTCGACATCGCTGTCCGAATCCGAAGATTCAAGCCTTATTTCGGTAAGCTCCTGCTCCTCCACATTGCAACTGTCCAACTCTCCCACCTCCATCGTGGGCTTAAATTCCGGTGCTGTTTGTTTGTTAGAAGCAACATCTGTGCTCACTGCTTGGGCCGTAATTCCCTCCTCAAACATGGGATTGTTAAATGCACGCTCGCGCACCTCTTCACTTTCAGCATTAAAGCCCATAATACGTTCTGGCAAATGTTCTACGCCACTGGTGGCAGCCGCTCCCCCACCACTGATACCGGCCTCCTGTCCAGCATTATCGAAGCGAGCGAATAACAAATTTCTTCTCAGTCCCAAGCTAAGATTGCTCCAATGCCAGCGTCGGGGATCGTGGATCCATTGTGGGATGCGATTCAAATGGGGATTTTGGGGCATGTAGTGTGCCAGAATAATTATGGCCACCACACCCACCAGCACAATACAAAAGATAATGAGCAGCACAGAGCCGAAGGTCACATTGGGGTTGTACGGATGACCAGCCATGTGAGTGACCAATGCTTGTTTTCCCCTGAGCAAATTGCTCTCATTACGCCTCTCCATCAGAAGCTCCAAAAAGTGCTTGCTGCGCTCATTGTACGTATCGCGATCGACAATAACCGTCTGTAGATATTGTCCCAGCTCATCGCTACTTATAAATTCCACATGCACAAGAATATCATTGGTTAGGCCTTCGCGCACCATTTGCTTGTTTATGTAGTCCAACAGATCCTTACGCTCACTCTCCAAGCAGTGCTCGACGGAATATCGAACAGTGGCGCCACATATGGGGCAGCATGCGCCAAGAGGCAGTACGGGACTCACGCAATGGGGGCGTTCACACTCAACATTGTGGCAGGTCGACACGATGAGGTCCATGTAGTCCTTGTGACAGCCACAGATCTCACTGCGATAGTATTCCACGTACGTGATTTCCCCATTTGGAAATAACAGTTCACCAAGATCCGTTCTTAGCAGTTGTTGCAGATACGTTTTTGAAATGGAGGAACCGAGCAGGCTGAGATGACCCAAGCGCAAAAATAGTACGTTTTCCAAATCGAAAGAGAGTGCTCCGTTCGCACTGGTGATCACCACCTGCTCATCACTGCACGGCACCTTTTCTATCTCAGAAACTGCAGGACTGCGGCTCAAAATATCGGGACTGGTCCAAGACATTGGATCAAACCACTTGCTGGTCTTAGGTGGCTTCAAATAGGCACGCTTCTCATCACTCTCACATTCACGGTCCTGCTCCAAGTCGTTTAGCAATATGGTGACATCCTGACTGAGGACTAAGGCTCCCTCATTAGGTAATACAAAGCCGCCAATTTTTATGTTGCCTGTTAGTGGCAAAACAGCGCGATAGTTCGAGGGGAAAACCGCAAGATCGCGAGCACAGGGCATATAGCCATCAATCCAGGCGTCAGAGCTGGAAAATCCTGGACTGCCACTGTACCACTTGGTACCGAGAGCCCCCTGATGGCACAGCCCTAAAAATATGATCAGCAAATGCAACATGAGGCGATCGAAATGAGAAAGATATGAAGACTGACTATGCCATCGACAATTTCAATGGCTCTTCATAATTGGGGGGCGTTCCAATGCGAGTATTTTGTTTTTATCACGCGCCGGCATGCCCTGCATTCGCATGGCCAACTCAACAGATAATAAGCGAATTCCGATCATTCAGCACAGAGGGATATAAACTAAGTCCAGTGTGATGGCATGCCAGCTGTAAACATAATCGCTAACCACCTCAATGTTTTTCTAGAGATTTGCCAAATAAATGTACGTATAATAAATCGCTTCAGATCCCGAGACGAACTCGCATCAGCTACATACCTAGTACATACATACAAATGTATTTATAGAGGCGCCTATGTATGGATATACATACATGTATGTATATAGCTTGAATCGATTCGATCGATCGAACGTTTGTTTCACAATTGTTTGGCGCAAAAAAGTTTATTTTGAATTTAGCCATATAAACAATTTGCTGGCCATCGGTGCTGATTTGACGGAAGCCATGGAAATGCTAAAGCGGACGTGCGGCCTCCTCATCGCCCCCAAACCCACCACAAGCCCTTCGAGCACTGAATTGTCTGTGTTATGGCACATGAAAGCTTTTGCTAAAAAACGAAAATACTCCGACAACAATAAACTAATAGCAACCACCATGTGTACGTCGTACTCACTAGTATAATAAATATTAATGAAATTTTTTTGTTCCCAGACCCAATATGCAGATAGACATGGAGCACGTTGTGCCAAGATCAAAGCTACGCGTGGCAAACAATTTGAGAAATCTGAGCAGATCGGACCAAAGTGTCGTGATAAGACTGTATGTACTTATGTTAGGGAAATTTGAATTTTTTTTTCAAAACTTTCATTTTAAAATGGGTCAGCAACTTCGATCCTATTTATTGGATTTATAGTGTGTACTTTCCAGTCTAAACTATTGATGCTCATAAATAGAGAACCTATTCCTAGAATTCCAAACTTTTTAGATTTTAGAATATTTCAAAATGTAGGCTTAGCTTTCAAGAAAAAACCTTCAACTTTCGTTTTAGAAATGGATTCGCGTATAATAAATCCATCCAGCACTAAAATAGGGTTACCGCAAAGCTTTCCAGATGGACACCTTTTTATTGAAAGAACGTTACAGGGTTAATTTTCCCATACCAATCAAAAATCTATCAAGTGCCTTACTGATAATGCGCCATTGTTATTCAGGTGTGGTTAGTTATTAAGATGAAAAGTGTACAGCTTCGATTATTTGTTATCCATTATTAACTTTAAACATCTTTCTTTCCTGTAGACAAACATGGAATTACTAATTTTTGCATTACATTTTACAAATATCATTTGAATATCATTTTTTAAATACAGCAGAGAGTTAGTTATTATCTGTTCTAAACATATAGAAGAATTCAAGTCATTGAAATAATTGGTAATATTATAAGTATATATGTATATATATGAGCAGATGCAAATTCCGATGTCCGTCTGTCTGCCTGTCTTAGTCACTACTCCTTCTACACTTGTAAACTATCGCGTTTAAGCTCTGCACCGCTGCTCTGTAAATGACTCAAATAACAAGGAGAGGCCGATCTTGTCAGATCCCCACATCATCTTCATCCCTGTAATATTGAACCGACGCCCTGGCGACCGTCACAGGGTGTCGTTACAAGAGAACGATGGCGAGGACGGCGTAAGACATAAGAGTAATAAGAAAGAACGTAAAATGGAGTTATTTATTAATCTAAATACAGCCACGAGGGCGAAGGGTCATTGCGCATCGAAGCGAGCTGTTATGTTTAAGTTTAAGCGAAATCGAAATTGAGTATAATTTGCCACGGGAGGCGGTACATAAATAATGAGCTTTTCTATGAAAACAGAACCACCAAGCGGGTTCCAAAACTTTATTTCGGGGTTCGAAAATAAACATAAAATAAACGGCGAGCATAACCGGGACAGCGTTGCAAAATATAATCGCATATGATTTAAAAATATTTTATTTTATCAAAATCTTATTTGCTTCCAAAATATTAAGAATGTTAAAGTGTTAAGTGAAGGTTTTGCATCACTTGTGTGTCCCGATTGGTGGAAATGAATTACCAATGGATGGAAAATTGAAAAGCAATGCTCAGTTAGCAGCCTGTACTGATATCTTCATACATTTGGAGTCTCCCAATTCATATTAAAATTTCACACATACATACATACATACATACATATCTAATAGGTTGTATCATGAAGTGACCAATGACCGAGCACAGCTCTTACATCTGCAATGCACACGCAACTGCTCCGAAGTGGCTGGAATATTCGATATACGATCGATTTTCATTAGCATCGGCCGCAAACAGCTTTACATACTCGCGCCTTCCCCCTTGTAACCATCCATACACTTGCACCCATACATTTGTATATACATACATATATTTAGATTCACGCTAAAAGATAATCTGAATCTGGCATTCATCAGAGCCATAAAATCGGCAATTCTTGCAGTGTTCAGTGCCTGCCTGACTGCCTTTTGTTTGCTGTTTTGATTTGTATGTTTGTGCAGTTTTGCATTTCAATAAAGAGGTTTTGGTTTTGCCACGGAATTTTAGCGCGCGCCTGACCAAATAAATATTGGAAATTATTTTTGGAAAATCGTGTGCGGCCTGCAGTTGGCCACTTTGCAACGACAACAACAAAAGCATCAGTGAATATATTGTAAATTGAAATTTTCATGCAGGCGCAAAGTTTTCAAAAGATGCAGCTGCAATTGTTGAGCTCTGGGGTGGCGAAACGGTTGGGAGGGATTGCGTTGTCATGATAAAAAAGCAAGATGTGGGATCTATAAAATAAAAAACACAATAAAAACAAGTCGAAATACACAAACATATGGCACCCATAAATGTACGAGGGGACAGCGTGCTCGTATTCATTTTCTTTCATTCTTTTTCCGTTTTTGTTTTGGGGATCACTTGAAATGGCCGCACATTTCCTCAATTAAAATTTCCGTGATATATGACGTTTATAATGATTCCCACAGTTGTGTCAACACACTGAAAATCTTGTAATTGACCGCATTTTGCACACAGGCAATATTTTTTATTGATTTTATTCTTGTAACAATATTTGCTGATCTACAAATATTGTTGATCCCATATATATTAATAATTTGAACAAAAATGATAATATTCAATGAATAAAAAAAGTTTTTTCTTTATTAATCGGTTCGAACCAGCAATTCCCTTTGCCGATTCGCTACGTCAAATTTTTAATCTTTTAAACTACTAGCTTAAGAAAGAATTTCATTGATGTAACAAAATTTAAATATTTTCCACACCATAAAGTTGTAAATTGTAAATTGAAAATCATGATTGTAACTTCCACCTGCACAAATATTTAATTATTAACTTTAAATACATACTGAAATAAATGTATGAACATTTGTATAAAAAATAAAAGTTTGTAATAAACTAATAATATGCATATAAATAGGCTTATTTGAGCAAATGTTTGGGAAATGTTTCTGAACTCACCAGCGACCAGTAGGACAAAAATCGAACTTTCTGGGATAGTGCTTCCGGCACCAGACGACGACTCACGCTTGTTTTTAATTTATAGCTCCGTTGCACCTCGAAGCTACTGTAGTAGAGACCATAGGCGAACTGACCCAGAGCACACAAATGTATGATGGTCACAAAGACACGCGACTTGTACAACTCCACTTTGGTCATCTTTTATCACTTTTTACACTTCACCCCTTGAATATTTTCTTCTTTTTAACTCTGTTTTCCCTTTGGTTGCAATTCACTGCTTTTTATGAAGGTGGTGGAGAGGAGGGGAAAAGCGTAAAATAGCATTAAGCTGGACAAAACATAAATTGCAAGCGAAGTTAATCATTCTTTCTAATTATCCAGCTGAATATTTATCTGCCCATTTGGGCGCTTTATAACTGAGTCAGACAAAACAATCCGGTAATTTTATCGCTAAAACAAATTAATGCACATACGGATACTGTGCCGTATTTATTCAATGATGAATGGAGCCACAAAAACGAGAACAGCAACAACAACCACAATAATGTGTTGGTTGCTCACTCAGCAAGTTAGATACACAGAATAAAGGAATAATAATAACACTGAATAATTGAAGTGTGACAACAGAAAAAAGAAATGAAAAAACCCAAAATATTCCCTCAGTGGCAGCAAAGAAGAGCTGTCGCACAAAAGTTGCAGACAGTTTTGCACTCGTCCCCTCCTCACACCTCCTTTGGGTCTTAAAGCCAGAGCCAAGTCAGGCAATTGAAATCAATATTTGCGCCACTAACATAAATATTTTAGGCCTACTAAGACGCTGTGTGAGTATATGTATATATGCTAGTATATCGGCTTGCTTGCAATTTAATTTTAATTTATATTTAATTTAGTATTTCGAAACGTTTGCTAATAACACACACGCACGTAATTTTTTTTATATATTAATTTGTATTTTGTGAGTGTGTTTCGCGTCGAGCGTTGTCGCTGAACTGAGCGTATGGAAAACTGGAGTCGCACTATTTGGTGCTGCTATATAAATGTTGCTCATACGCCACGTTGGCTCCGCCGCTGTTGGTTCTGTTCTGGTGCCTCCAGCCCGCCCCAGACGCTTACATTGCGTAGCTTGTGCGCATGTTCGGAATGACCTGCGTGCTGTATGGTCATTTATAGGTTACCATTTTGTGTTTATGCGTACTATGGCCACGACTCATGGACTCTACACCTACATTATTGACAATGGATTGCATCTCATTTTATATTGTAATCATTCATTAACGTCACAAAGATAAATTATCGCTATACATAATCAGGTGGAGATAATATAGTGAGTCTTAACAATGCGTCAACCCAATACCCATACACCAGAAACAAGCTTTTAGTAGATGAGTTCTAGCACAAGATAAGCATAAATTTCCCTCAAATTTAAAAATTGCCTTTGGCGCGTGTATCGCTATCGCTACTATCGATGCGTTGCAGTCAACAGCTGTTTTGTACAACAGCCCTGGGATTGCATTTGTTTTCTTTTTTTCCTTTTTTTTTGTATTTCTGTTGACTTAGCGTACATTTGCATTTCTGAGATGCCGGCGACTAATGTTGAGGCGTATCAACTATAAATGAAAAAGACGAACTCTGGAGGTAAATTCAGTATCAATTGAGTGGGCCAAGCATTTGTTCTCCGTCAGTTTTAGGCATGTCGTAATAAGTGGTGTATCTGAGTGCCCCTCAAAATTTGTTACTAAATATTTCACATAAAAAGTTCCAAAATTTCCAGTAGCACAGTTTGGCCGCAGACTCCGACACAAACACCATCATGTCACTGCCATCGAAAATCACACTGGGAGCCGCTGTGGTTATATCGAGCGCCATTATAGGTTATGTACACTACAAACAGTCCGAGGACCGGTAAGTTGTATTATTAAAAATGTGAGTTAAAATTGTGATTATGTCATGTTTTGTGTACAGCCTGAAACTGCACGAGGGCGTGTTGCGCGACATAGAGCAGCAGCAGCGCCGTAAAAATGAGAACATATACACACTGCAGCAACAAAGTGATATGGCCAAACAACTGAAGCAGTTGGAGGGTTCTGGCCGTCAGGGACAAATGCCTAATCCGCCGGTTGAGGCAGATAAATCACGTTCCAATGCACGTCTTGATGTGGAAGCTGCAGCGGTGCAGTCGGATGAAGCACCGGGAGAGACGGCCGATGCCAGCTCTGAGGCACAGCCAGTATCTGAGGAGCCAATCGCAAAAGACGAAATACAACAACAACCTCCTGAAGCGTCCTCTTAGGCCAAAAGTGCATACAAATCCGTAGCATTAAATAGAGAACAGAAAAAACCATAAAATATGTTGTTGAGCGACGCCTAAAAAAGCAAATCTGTACCATTATATTACTCAAGTTTTATTATTACGACGAATGTGTGTATAAGTAATTACAAATCTAATGGGCGCTCGGTAAAGTAATTCACATAGTTGTTTATGCAGCGGGGGGCGTTTGTACATATGTAGGTGGTGGACACCCCCTTCCTTTTCTTCCTTCGAATTAAACAAAAATACAATGTTGATTGATGAAATTTGAGAAATACACGATACTTGGCGTTGTCTGTTGTCCGTTTCACTGTTTGCCACCAAATTTCCGGAAGTCAATTGAGACTAGTACCGACCACCGCCGCCACCACCTCCGCCTCCTCCTCCACCACCACCACCTCCGCCACCAGTACCACCACCGCCTCCTCCACCTTTACGTCGATCACGATCATTACCCCTGTCGTTACCTCCCCTATCATTGCCGCTACGGTCGTTTCCACCACGATCATCGCGGCGGCGGCGGGGTGAACGTGAACGGCTGCGCGAACGTCGACGCGGCGAACGAGAACGCGAGCGGGAGCGACGACGTCGCGAGTATAGATACCTACGAAGTTCTCTGGATATGGGCTTCAAATGCATGAAATTGCAGAATCCGGAGCGCGTGCATTCACCCATTTCATACTGTCGACAGCAGGCCTCGCGAAAATCGGTAACGGGCGATAGTTCCGAATAGACTGGTCGGCCGCCAAACCAGCGATTGTTCAAATCATTTGCTGCTTTTTCCGCGTCCGCCTCATTACGAAATTTGATGTACACATTGCCGACCAGGTGGTCTCCCAAATTGTCGCATACGTTCATCTCCTCAATCTCGCCGTACTTGTCTTCGCATTCAACAAACACATCCTCAAAGAAGTTGTCATAATGCTCCTGCATTTCCTCATCGGACACGTTTGCAACCAAATGGGATCCATCCGCCGACTTGGCCGAGTTTTGAGGATTGACATACAGGTTCTGCAGCAGGACAGTTTGCGAAAATGTCGGTTTGTTGTGAATGCGTGAGCAGCGGTCGCCATGTCGGCACGCTCCAATTTTAAAGTAAAACGAGCAGTTGACTCTGTAAAAATAACGCGTGGATGCAATTTGTTTTTTTTTTCCAAAGTTTTCTCTCTACAAAGTACAGGAAGCAACGAACCAACCATGCGCGCGACTATGACTACTACTTACTTGTCCTTTTCTGTGCCAAAAATGGATGCCAAATACTCGGCCATTACTGTTGCGCTGTAAGGAGAATGTGCTGAAAATGGTTAACCTCTGCTTGCTTGTGTTTTGAACCGGCCTAAAAATATTATCTATTTGGAAAATTGCAAGTTTTTCATCTGCCGCACGCAAAAAGCAGCGTCTGCTTGTATTTTTTTCTTAGGTGGCAGCCTTTGACAACGTTGCCAGCTAAGAATTACAAAATAAATAGAGCTGTGCTCTTTCGTTCAGACTCAGTTCAGTTGAACGAAAGATTAATATGAACAACTGAACTTGTTCATTTATTTTGTTATATTTTATACACGAGATGTTTTTGTTCAGTTAATTATATTGCTTATGTTACATTATTTAAATTGAGCATAAATTCATTCAAGTCTTTATTCGTGGTTGTTTAAATTAAGGTATTCTTAAACAATGTAACAAATTTAAAAGGTGAATAAATTAGGCTATCAATATGAACTAGTGACGGATTCGGTTTTTTTTTTTAATAAAGCGTACGGGTGTGCTACTTGTTTCTGGTGTCACCCTGAACAAGAATATAACGAAAAATAGTTTTAAAGCACCCCAAATCAAATATTTGAAACAATAAACTATTGTGCTTGCCGTTTCATGTGCTGTTGGCAGTGCTCTATATAAGGTTGCCATATGTTTTAACAGAATGACAACCAGTGAGAGCATGTAAGGTGCGAGAGCGCTCGACTCATGCATTCTAGAAAAGTCCGACCAGCGGCATTTTTTTTTTGCATATCCAACATTAGCATTACTGACGTTGACTTCTTCTTGAAACGGCGTGTTTCTGGCACGTTCTTTTAGTTTGAACCCACAAAAAATAGTTTAAAATCGAAATGGAAAAGGTAAGTAGCATCTTTTGTTAAAGGAGTTCTGTCTGCATTGCGAAAACGGCTTTTTTTTAAATCGAGCAGGTGAACGAACTTAAAGAAAAGGGCAACAATGCACTGACCGCTGAAAAGTTTGATGAGGCTATTGCGGCCTACACAGAAGCCATTACTCTGGATGGTAGGAACCATGTTCTATACAGCAATCGCTCCGCTGCATATGCAAAGGCTGGAAAATTTGCAGAGGCGTTGGAGGATGCCGAAAAGACCATTGCATTAAATCCCACCTGGGCCAAGGGTTATTCACGTAAAGGAGCCGCTGCCGCAGGGCTCCAGGATTATATTAAGGCCTTTGAGGCCTATAATGAGGGTAAGTTGCGTATAACTTTCTGACCCTAACCTCACTAAACCAATGAGTATGTGTGTGTATGTGTTTATGTGTGCTTACAGGTTTGAAACATGATCCTCATAATGCTATTCTGTTGCAAGGACGTCAGGATATCACTTCTTCTGTGTTGAATTATATACAGTCGCAGGGTGACATACCGATGGACGTTGATGGTGAAGTCCCCCCATTTGGACGTCGTGCCCCGCCACCGGCACAGAAGCCGGAAGAGCCGCCAAAGCCAGCTGAGCCAAAAGTTGAAGATATGTCCGCGGAGGAGCGCAAAAAGTATTTTGCCAAGAAAGAAAAAGATCTAGGCAATGCGGCCTACAAAAAGAAAGATTTCGAGACTGCACTCAAGCATTATAATGCTGCCATTGAACATGATCCAACCGACATAACGTTCTATAACAATATTGCGGCAGTGTATTTCGAGCGTAAGGAATACGATGATTGCATTAAGCAGTGTGAAAAGGGCATCGAAGTTGGTCGCGAGAACCGCGCCGATTTCAAGCTCATTGCCAAGTCCTTTGCTCGCATTGGTAACACCTACCGCAAGCTGGAGAACTATAAGCAGGCAAAAATATATTTTGAGAAGGCTATGTCGGAACATCGCACACCTGAGATAAAAACATCGCTTAGCGAAATCGAAGCTAAGATTAAGGAGGAGGAGCGTCGCGCTTATATTGATCCGGCCAAGGCCGAAGAGGAAAAAGAGAAGGGAAATGAGTTCTTCAAGAAGGGCGATTATAGCACTGCCGTAAAGCATTATACTGAAGCTATTAAGCGCAATCCCGATGATCCAAAACTGTACAGTAATCGCGCTGCCTGCTACACTAAATTGGCAGCTTTTGATTTAGGCCTGAAGGATTGCGACACATGCATTAAGCTGGATGAAAAGTTCATTAAAGGTTACATACGCAAGGGCAAGATTTTGCAAGTAAGTAAAGAAAAATTTAAATTAGGTTGACATCTCCTTAATCTTTGATATATTTTTAGGGCATGCAGCAGACTTCCAAAGCTTCGTCGGCATACCAAAAGGCCCTAGAAATTGATCCAAACAATGCTGAAGCTATAGACGGTTACCGCCAGTGCTCGATGAACTTTCAACGTAATCCTCAAGAAGTGCTCAAAAATGCCATGTCAGATCCTGAAATTCAACAGATTCTCAAGGATCCGGCGATGCGCATAATTTTGGAACAAATGCAAAATGAGCCTAACGCTGTGAAGGAGTAAGACTTTAAAATCATTCTAGTGTTAACTGCGAATATTAAATTTGAACCTATTTTGTTTTATAGACACTTGCAAAATCCAGCCATCGCCGATAAAATAATGAAGCTGCTTGAATCGGGAGTCATACAAATACATTAGGACTAATGGTCTAAAAACTTATCGCTAATATTCAGGAGACACAACCATTCACTACAAATAATTGCAACAATAACCTGCGGCGCGCAGCCGCCATCTAAAAAATGAAATGGATAAAAATAAGTCGTTATAACATTTAAAAAAAACAGCTAAAAAGAGCAAAATACCTTAAATATTTCGCAACGCTAAACGGATAAGGAAACACAATTACGTCTGTCTAATTGACTTAAGCAGATGCTGGAGAAGCTCTTTTCGCCACGACGCCTCCTCCTTATTTTCATTCTACATTATACGCTGTAGCTTAGTTCTAAAATAAGTTTTTGAATGTAAAAAAAAAATAAATATACAAGACAGAAGGTAAAACTAATTACCGAAGAAGTGTTCAAATGTTGTGCCAGTGTTGGGCAGATCGTAAGTGTAATAACCTTACACTCTAGTCATAGCAACTCTGCCAAAAACCGGTTTATCGATATGTTTTTTCCATCACCACCGCCATTCCAAAAGTAGTGTGCTGATTGTGATGAGATTATTGCCGTGTTAAAATGCGTTGAAACGCCAAATTAACTTAACAGCTGCAACGAAAGCACCCGTTAATACATATTGGAATAAATTTGCCACAAAAGCCAATAAAATTTACACGTTTTTGGCACGTTTATATGTCCACGCGTAGTCCACAACCTACCTTTTTTGAGAAGCGTGTGCCCGAGTGTGTGTCTTCTCTCTGTAGTGTATGTGTGTGTGTGTGTGTGTGTCTCAGTCTCGCGAAATCGAGAGTAGAATGATGTCCGGGTACTAGTAGTGGCACTGTAAGCGTAAAATTAAACAGCAAATTGTGTATTGTATCGAGCGAAAAGTGATAGAGAGAATTGTTTCTATCGGGTGCAAACGCAGGCGGATTATTAAAGCCAGCACAAAAAGTGAGTATGAGCTGCTATTGATATTAATTTTTTAGCATTGCTTTTTTGTTGTATCGAATATACATTCGTTTATATGTACATATGTACATACATATATCTGTCGTAAATGCGTTTTTGGGGGCACTTGGCAACAGCATGCCGCTGTTAACCAAGCAGCGAAAGCTGCAAAGCTTGCGGCAAACACACACAAATTAAACAGCAACAACTAACGACTTTAACTGCGCGATGATGACGATGATTAGGTGATGATGATAATGTCTTCTCTTTCTCAAATTCTCTCTTTGCGTTACAGTGATTTCATCACCGCTGCATTATTCGACAATGCGGCCACAGGCGCCCGCATCGCTCGTTCCTGATCCAAATGAGGATGAGTTGCGGTCTGCTCTATGGTATTGGGGCCGGATAACACGTGAAGAGGCTAAAAACGTTTTATGCGGTAAGCCTGATGGCAGTTTTTTGGTACGTGATGCACTTACCAAGCAGGGCGAATACACGCTCACCTTAATGAAGGATGGCAACGAGAAGTTGATCAAGATCTGTAATATGGATGGAAAGTATGGCTTTGTCGCTAAATATCTGTTCAATTCCGTTGTGGAGATGGTCGATTACTACAGTGCCAACTCGCTAGTTATGTACAATAGGTCGTTGGATATTACGCTAACCAATCCTATTGCACGACCCGTTGAGGATTTCCAGCAACATGGCGACTTAAAAAGGATCTGCAATGAATTCATTCAGGTGCATAGCTTGCTGCAAAAGCAGGAGGAAAAGATGGACCAAAAGAAGACCTCGTTCAATGCCATACGCGAAGAGTTGCAGGAGAAAAAATTGGAGCAGAATGTTTTTGGGCATGCTGAGAAATTGTTTCGCAATCAAATAATGCTAGTTGAAACGTTTCTGAAACCGCAATCCAATGCCACAGAAGGCACTGGCACAGCTGCAGGCTCAGTTGGCACCGCTGCTATTGGCGGCACCGGGAATACAACATGCAACAATATCACAAGACAACAGGAGCAGGAACATCTACAAGAAAGTTTGAAAAGATTGCATGAAAATCTCAATGAAATACACCATAAAATTGACCGTTTAAATAATTATATCGAGAGCAAAAAACAGGAGGAGCAGACGCTTGAGCGCGAGATCAATACGGCAAAGCCCGAACTTCAAACGCTACAATGGAACAAGGATAAATATGTTGAGTAAGTTCATTATTTTGTTTGTTGCAATTATTAGTAGTGACGTCATTTGCTATACTTATAATGGAGTGGCGCGATAACAATTGATTATCGTCGAGTCAGCGCAAAAAGACCGAAAGACAAATTTGAGAAAAGAAACGAATATGCAGTCGTAGGGGGGGAGGTGACCAGTCAGTCACTCGGTCGTTTCATGCACTACTGCCGGACTGATATGTCGTCTTCGTTAATGGCTGAGGCGAACTTCAATTGCATTTTAGCTGCGTGTTGCTTTTGTTGGGTTGTTGTTTCGTCAACCAACCAACAGACCAACGAGCAAGGGAATTTTAATGCTTAAAGTTCTGGCTCGTTTTACATGCTTGCACAATAGGATGAGGAATTCAAACACGATTGCTACTATTTTAAAACCCTGTACTCAAAGGCTAAGTAGTGCGAATTTACACAATGTATATATATTAATTGATCAGTGTGATACAACGTGTCGATATAGCGATACCCATCTATCTGTTTCTATGAACGCAACGATCACAAAAATAATAAGAAAGTATAAGAGAATATCAAAACTTGTTACCCAGATTCTCATCAGTCCGAGATGATGCTTCCCTGCTATTATGTAGACACAAAGAGTTGGGCACGCTTGACCCTAGCATTCCATTCTTAGTTTAAGCTGAAACACATTTCTTAAAAGCAAACAAGACTTCTACATTCCAGCTTTTCAATAGTGAGTTTTATAGTTAAAAATCGCGGTATCAAATATTAACAACCCGATTTCGATACAGGTTGGAACTTCTTTTCCAAATCACGCAAGAACTACAAAACTAGGCAGGTGCATCAATATTTATTATTATAAATTCTAAATAAAGATATGTATAGGCATGTAATTACATTTCCTTAATGCTCTTCCTTTAAAAGCCGTAAGGTAGTTATATCCGATAGATTTCTATTCTTTTTGTAACTACCCTTTCTTTTTAGTATTTACTTGTATTTAAAAACCGTAAGGTTGTTATATCCAAAACATTTTTATGCTTCTATTCTGGAACGGAAAATGTTATTGTTACCCCAAAATTTAATGGGGATGTCATATTCATTTCCCTACATCAATATTCATATGTTGATATAATTTGTATTAAACTGAATGTTTTTCCAAGAAATTATAATTTTGCCCAACAGTTGCAGACTTGTCTGAGCTGTCGCTCCGCTAAAAATTAATAACAACAACAATAATATAAAGTGCACGTCATTTGTCTCGATGTACCTGTTAGTAACTATGGCGCGGTCTGTCTGGTTGTGCCCTGCAATTAGCCACGCTGGCCTACGTGCGGGCGCTCAAAATTTTGATTGCATTCTCAACCTCAAAACAACAACAAAAATGCATAACGTCGGGCGCTTGACCTTGAATGTGGGTGTTTCTAACTAGAAATTAGATAAAACGATAGAGTACCCAATTTCACTACTAGAACTTATTCTAGCGTTAAATTTCATTTCATTTTCCTTCAGGCTAGTACATAGTAGGAATAACGTGTGAAAATTTGGGAATTATTATTATAAGTCGAAACATTGAATCGAATTAAAAAATTGGATATAACAAGGGAAGTTCAATCTAAACAAATAATATAATCATGACACAAAATGAGCAAATGTTAATGTTTCTGAGTAAAGCTTCTATGGGCTTATATTTTGTTGGTAGATATTGGCGTTTTAATTTTAATCTCTTCGAAACATTTAGATAGGACTATTTTTGTTTTCCAATAGCAACCATGAATGCAGTCAACCACCTGCATCAAGTCTGTATATGTACATATACATATGTCTATTGTCCGATTCGACTGAAAATGCCGTGAAATTTGCAAAACTCTTGACGTTTGCCTACAAAAGAACCGGCTGGTAAGCAGACTGGTGGTCTCGCTGTTCTATGAGATAAGACGATATCTTTATCAGGCAGTCATTCATTATATGTATGTTTGTCATTCGGCTTAATTTGTTTCCTTTCTTTCAACTTTTAATGCCCGCACCTTTTCTGTTGTTGCTGTTGAAATTTTCTATTTTAATTAAAGATTAGCGCACATCTCGCAGAATTCACGTATACATACAAACATACACATAGATATATGGATATAGTCGCATATATGTATATGTACATACATATATCGTATGTATGTAGGTACATGTATCTGTTTGATAAGCGTGTGGGTGTAATTGTTGTAGTTGTAGCTCAAATTCTTCTTAAGTCGTCCTTATCAGGCAGCACGTTTGCCAAAACGCGTCACTCTGTAGCTTCGAGCCCTAGGTTGCCCTCTCAGAGATAAATACATGCTCGTACATGTATGTACATATATACGTATGTTTGTATGTACATATATGCTCCAAACTTTCGCTATGTTTAGAACGCTCGCAATGCTCGCTGATAATGCTCGCATATAGCAGGGGTCGCAAAATTTGCGTTGCGTGGCCTTGTAGTGATAAAGAAAGAGTAAGCAGAGCACAATCGAACTAGCAATCGAGCATTGAAAGATTTTTGTACTATATACATACGTATGTATGTTTGTATCTACACGTACTTCTATACTATATATATATAGTATACTCGTATATGTATAAGCTAACTGGCATGTCTTGATTTTGTTCTTGTTCGAATACATAAATGGATGATATCATGTCTACATCGCATTGCTGCATTGCCACGTTGATTCCCATTGCTTCCTACTAAAGGTGGGCATGGGCCCTGTTTTCGGTCGTAGGGCACTGCGTTGGCACGCATGATGGTGTTACAGATTCCAATTTCGTGAGTGGCTGTGTTGAATCGAAAACATACACGAGCACACACGAACATGGCACGAAAAACATACTTTTCAATATATATACATATATATGTATATTCAGAATATACTCAAAATTTTGAGCAAATAATTGGAATTTATAAATAATTCGATCGTTTTTAGAGTATGTCCATATCTAGCACACACAATGTACTGTCAAATAATTTCCATAATTAAAACAAATATCCCTATTTCTACTTTCTACCGAACAATACGAATATGCAATATTTATTCTTAGAGGTGTGCGCGTGAGTACTTTTTGTCACGTTAAATTCAAATTGTAATAAATTAGTCGACACCTTAATTAAAATGTTTTTTTTTTCGATCAATTTAATTATACATAAAATATTTATGTTATATGCAGTCTTTGTTATCAGCGGCCTAGGTACAGGCCTGTCGAATTCGAGATAATATCTCAAATGTTAGTGTTTGATGTTTCCAATTAACAAATTGAGTAAAGACTCAAAATTTGTAAGTTGCACATTTAAAGTTTGCATAGTCTTTACATACATACTGTTTACATATTACAAAGGAATGTTTTTTTTTAGTTAAATTTAAAGATAGAACTTTAATTAGTTGCAATTAATGCCCATTTGTAGGTGAGAAATTCTAATTCCCAAAAGCTGTTCTGATTTTGACAGATTAAAATTAAATTAAATCTCGTTTTTAACGAAATGGTGTCGACTTCGTGAATTTTGTTGATTTTCCATCAGAGCCTGGTTTGTTTGAAATAAATCACAGTTCCGCTCTCAACTCGAAATGCAAATCCATTGCTCAATATTTTATTTTAAACAAGAGAGAACGCTACAGTCGAGCAAGTCCGACAGTAAAATACCCTGTACTCTCCACAAAAAAGGAAAATTAAAAAAAATTAAATTATTAAAAAAAACGGAATTAATTAATTTAATTAAATTAGAAGACATGTTTATGTACAGTTTTAACAGCATACATTTACATCACGTGCCTATGCGTGTTTATATGCGTTTATGTACATATGCAGCACAAAGTTGAACCAAAGCAGCAACAACAACCTTTGGTTACAGGCTATAAAAAACCGGAGCTGGCTGTCTGTCCATATAAATTGTGATTCGTTTTTTTGGCAGCCTATTTTTCGTGTTTGTTGATATCTATAGAATATTCAGCCATCCCCAATAAAGCACTTGGGCTCATGCACATGCACACCCCTAATGACTCACTAATCTTACCACCAGTTGCACAAAACTTGAGTTGCGCGACATGGTTTTGATGCACATTCGTCTAGAAATTTCAGTACTGGAAAGACGTGGGCAAGAGCACAAGTAGTGTATTACGAAATCAAGAAATACGTACTCGTACAAAGGCTAAGAGAAAGCTATGAACGGTCAAAAACGAATGATCAAGGAAGACTCCTGTAGATCCATTGATGAGTATGTATTTCACATGTGAAACTGTATACACATACGAGTACATATGTATCTAGTAAGGAAAATGGTCTTTGTTACAAAGTCCGAGTGATGAAATTAATATTGTGAAATGATGAAATACTCTTCATGGTATTATCAAAATCCAGGAGTATAGTATATGTGTAATGATGTTTATTGAATGCCTGCTAAGAACATTTAAATGTGTAATTGTGGAATTTATATGAAACATGCAATGGGCAATGATTTAATAGTTCATCTTAACTGATCAAACAAGTTTTCAAACTTAAGTTAGGGACAATAAGAATGGGTTAAATACCATACTGAAAGGTGTAACGCTGCTGTGTGGCAGGAAAGTTTTGTTCCTTAATTGCTTAATGTTAACTAAAAGAACTGTCGCATGAGCTTACTCTGAAAAAAATTCACATTTTTATTTATATTTTTATTTTTCCTTATTTATTCCGCTTTCTATAATACTACGCATTTGTGTATTTATCATTACTATAAAAGTTGTAATATGATATTAAAACAGAGTCTTGATCAAATCCTGCCTTGTTTCTCCTCTTACTATTTTTTTTTTGTGTATTAAGTTTTTAAAATCGTCGTTGCAAATTGAATAATTGAATGCGTTTTTCATATCTTCATTGCGTTTGTTGCGCTGCTGATGAAGTGTGGATATAATATTCCTTTTTTTCAAGCTTAAAACATTTGCCATAATTCCTTTCTGGACTCGTTTTATTAAGACAAACAGTGAATGGATGAACAGTGAATAGATGACTTCTTTTTGATTAATTTCAACTAGGATCGATTAAGAAATTGCTTGTACGATACCGTACAAAGGACTATTTAAAATAAAACACTAAAGTGACATTCTGTCAAAAAAGGTTTATTTTTATTGAAAATAATCATCTTCCGATTCAATACGACGTATTGCGTGCCCAAGAAGCATTTCGTTTCAATGTTTTAGGCAATTGGCATGTTAATAAATAATCTGTCCAATGTGTTGACCGATGAGATCAGTTTTAGGTTATCAGTTGTAAGAAAGCAAGACGATTTGAAGATATTGTATTCAATTTTTATTAACTTAACTGATGGTTTTGATTAAATTTGAACAACGGTATTCACGTCATCACAATCACCTTGAAGTCATCCCAACGTTCTTGAGTCGCGAGAGCAATAGGGGACTTTGCAATGGGACAACCAATTTTCACTATAAACTTGTTTCTTCAATTGAAGAGTTTCGAAAAAAGAGTATCGAGTTTTAAGCTTAACTGAACTGTTAAATCGTTATTTTTCTGCCGATATCACAAAACAGCTTAACTTTGTATGCAATAGTTCGGCTACTATTCATCCATGCAATTAAAATTGTCAAAACGAATTCCAAAAAAAAAAACTCGTCTTTTCTCGGACCTAGGAGAATCTGGATACCAACTTTGGTTATTCTAGCTTTTATAGTTTCTGAAATCCTTGCGTTTATCCAGACGGACGGACATGTCTAGCTCGATTTCTCTCGGCAAGCTGATCTAGAATAAGTATACTTTATGGGGTCGGACATGCTTCCTTCTGCCTGCTACATACTTTGCACAAACCTAATATACCCTTTTTATACCCTGTACCCAAAGGGTACAAGGGTATATTAGTTTTGTGCGAGTGCACATGGAACACACAGAAGGAGGCTTGGTAGACCCCACAAAGTATATATATTCTTGATCAGCATGACAAGCCGAGTCGATATAGCCATGTCCGTCTGTCCGTCTGTCTGTCCGTCTGTCTGTCCGTCTGTCTGTCTGTATGAACGCAAGGATCTCCGAAAGTATAAGAGCTAGAATAACCAAACTTGGTATACAGATTCTCCTGAGACCGAGAAAGGACGAGTTTGTTAATTTTTTCTGATCCACCCCCCCACTCCCCCCCTATTAACGATTTTCTATAACTCCCGTAATTCTTAGAATTTTGAAATAAAATTTGGTAGTCACATTTGGTTAGTAATTATATATCCATATACCAAGTTGCATTATGATAGAATGATCGGAAAGTTATAGCCATATAACCAGGCCCAATGCACACATACATACATATGTACAAGTACACAAACACGCATAAGGCACGATTCTGATGTAAATGTAAATGTATGTATGCATGCATGGAATATTTTATATTTAATTAGTTAATATTTAGTTAATTAATTAAATTAATTTAGTTAATTAATTTAATTAAATTAATTAATTAATTTAATTACTTTTTTGTGGGGTGGTACAGGGTATTTAAGAGTTGAGCCTGCTCGACTTTAGCATTCCTTTCTTGTTATCCTACGGGTACAGGGTATAATAAATGATATTTTTTGAAGTTTTTTAAGAGAACAGGGCACGTCAAATGATAAAAACGATTCCAGCGTTATAGTTGTTTATAAATCCTTAGAATAAGTTAATTTAGTGATTATCCTTTATAATGTGATACTAGATATTACCAAAAGTTAAGCTACTGCCAGTTTTGTACTCCCTAATGCTGAATTGCACTTATTACGATATATATTTGTGAATATATTTTCATTTGTCGTGTTTTTTTGTGTCTCCTCATCCACAGACGCCTGAAAAGTTTTGGTCTTAGTGAAGAAGATCGATTGCATTTACTCGAGCATGGCTATGACAATTGGAGGCAGCATTATGAGAAGATATCTAATCAGCCTCATAGCAATGAATCGCTTTGGCTCCTCAGCGATTACAATCGCAACGATGCCGAGGAGGTGCTCTTTGGAGCACCCACGGGCACGTTCCTTATACGGATGCGCGCTGCCGGCAACTATGCACTATCAATTGCTTGCAAGGGTAAGGTTCAGCATTGCATTATCAATAAGACCGATAGCGGATTTGGGTTTGCTGCGCCCTACAACATCTATCCAACGCTGAAGAAGCTTGTTGAGCACTATGCGTTTAGTACGCTTGAGGAGCACAACGACACATTGAAGACAACGCTGCGCATTCCTGTGCTGTATTGGCAGCAAAACAAACAGCATTATATGGAGGAGCTGGCTGATGAGTTGGAGGAGGAGCAGCGCCAATTGGATCAGGAACAGTTAGCCATGGACGACATAATGCCGTCCCCTATGCCTCCAAGTAGTGCGCCCATTCCGACGCAACGGGGCCGCGATCTGGGCCATGGCCACTATGATAATTCGACAGTTGTGGGCAGCAGCGAAGCAGAAACGACGCCACCGGCTTCTACTTCACCCTCCAATTTCAGCCCCTCGCAGTAAAAAGCGGTTATTGCAAACAAAAAGATATATCTCTACAGCAAACCACCACTAACTAAAACTAACCTAAAACCCTCAGGCTAGCTACGTATATCTCTCTCTCTATCTCTCATAGAAACTCCCACGCTACCGATACATATACATATATATACATATATGTCTTAACTATATTATAAATATTTGTGTGTGATTGCAGTCGGCAGTTCAAAACTGCCGTTTTGATAACTCTACATGTGTAGCAGTAAGGAAAACAGTAACAGTAGCAGAAAATCAGAAAAATCAGAAGAACCAGAAGAAGAAGCAGTAACAAGTAATTCAGTGATCATGTTGATGTTGTTTATCGTATATACAGTCATATATATAAATACATATATATTTATATATATATGCAGAAATTATTGAAAAAAAAAAAAGAATTGAAAAGCTAATGCGTTTGCACGCGCAACTCAACAGCAACAACAAATTTTCTAATTGGTATAATGTTTTTATATAATATATAAAGTAATGCATTTCGCGTGATAAAAAGAAAAAACGAGAAATATTTGCGGTTAGCAGTTAGCTAAGAGGCTTCAGCAGCTTCCAAATTCATCAGCTCTAAGACTGACTGACTGGCTCTCATCGAAACTTACTCCCTCTACTCTATATATATATATACATTTATATATATATAAATATACGTATATATTAATATATTGGTGAATAATCGCACGCTGTGCGTTATCGAAAATTCGCCAATACAAACAAAAGAAACTACAGAAAGAAGATATAATGGAACTTGCTTCGTTTATTGCCTTGCCTTCAAAATGATGTGTTTTGAGAACTCCAGTGTTTCTCCATAACTTATGGATGGTTTGACTGAGATCTAAAGCTTTCCAATATAATCAAGAACTCATGATTTCTCAGGTTTCGGGCAAGACATGACTATTGAATGCAAAAAGGTGCACTTGCTATTACAGATTTTTTATTGTATTGCCTATCCCAAAAAGGCAAATACATATACTATATTATATATGCAGCGTTTGCTTCTCTCTTCACGTGGAGAGTCAAACATTTTGGAACATTTTAAATACATAATTGCAATAGTAGAGTTTTCCATGTTCATTCACGGAAATACCGTGTATCTTTCGGACTCTAAAGTCTCGTTAATTTTCAGTTACACATGTTAAGAGAAACCCCGAGATTTTTCGTTTGTTTGACTTAAAGTCGTATTGTGCCCTAATGTGGGCCGGATTTGAGTCGGATTTTTGCAGTCTTATATGCATGGGCGATCTGTCCAATCAATTTATACCTCTTTACCATTACGGATTCAATAGTCATGGATATACATATAAATAAACGTAGCAATTTTCATGTTCATGTAAATATATATAGTTTTGGTTTGTTTTTAGTGTGTCTGCGACACACATATATATACACACCCACACACAGAACAGTTACGTATAAATATTCGTTGTTATTGATAATAATTTTGATGTGGTAGTCCTTAAGTAATTGGCATATGTTTGCACTCAATGTGATCAGTTGATTGTTGCTAAATAATAATTTTTTGTAATGCATATAACTTAGTACTATAAACATTTAAATAATTTTATGAACTTAATTTATAGACAGCTACAAATACTTACACTACAAGAAAAACTTACATACATATACATATATTATATACAAACACACACACACACACAGACACACTCAACAACTCAAATTGAAAAAACAAAACAAAGTGCAATCGAAACCGTAACCTGTAACCATCTTTTTACCTTTTGTTATTTATACAAAAAATAATTACAAAAAAGCAAAGCAAAAACCTTTAAAGCGCAAACGGAAATGTAAAGAAACAAAAGGCAATAATTTGTACTCGAGCGCAGAAAAAATCGGTTTAAAAAGACAAAAAAAAAAGTTGTTCATTCGAAACTGCTGCAATGTGCAAAATAGTTTATAATTTTATTAATTGTAACACAAAATCCAACTGTGGAAAAAAATCACTCTTACTACGCTCTTAATATTTCTTGTATACAAACAATAGCATGTTGGGTTTATTTTTAGTGCCACAACAAAAAAAGGCAGGCAACGAAAAATATTTGATAAAAAAGTGTATATATATGTACACATACACACACACACACACACACACAACACAACACTCATACACACAGAGAGAACTCTAATTTATTTAAATCTATATGATTTTGTGTTTGTTCTTTTTTTGCTAATTCTATGAGATTTCGGCGGATCTCGTACGTTGTAGTATTTATAAGTTTTAAACATTAGTTATTAGGATGCGTTTCAAACAACAAATAAACAAATAGGCATAAACTTGTATTGTCAAATATATATATAATGATCATACAAACTTATATATAAATATGTAACAATTGGATTAATCAGACAGACTTTCGAACCTTACTTAAAACTTGGAGCTTAGTAAGCAAGCGGTCGGTTTCAAAAAGCTAGCTGCTTGCTTAATATAAAGGGTCGCTACCCAACCACCAGACCAAATGGAATGGGATAACTTTTAATTTGAAACGTAACTGTTGCATTAACAAATTATTACAAATTTATAATTTGCCATTGAAATGATAATTTAACAACAATTTTCCGATACTTAAAAAGCAAAACATTTATAATTTTTTTTAAATGAGACAAAAGTTTTAATTAGTTTCTAAGTTTGCCTGATTATGCCAAATTATTTTTGCCATACTTAAGTGTTAAATATACACATACATACATACTTACACACACACATATGCACGCATACACATGCTTGTGTGTATGTGTCATTTAATTGAAGCTGCATTTTGGGCGCAGGCGCGCAGCCAAAATAAGTGAGAAAAACGAAGAAACGAATTGCAAATTTGTTGTATTTTTTTATATGAATATATATATATAGTATATATGCATTATACATATATATGTGTGTAGATTGTGCATACATTGCTAAAAGCATGGCTAACTATGCTAAATGTTGTAGACTTTAAGTGATAACAGGCGGTTAAACAAACAAAATAAGAAACAAGGAAAACAAAAAAAAAAAAAAATTGAAGAAAAAAATCACAAATACAATTTTTTGTAGTAGTGAGTCGTGTATATTTGAATGTATTTGTGTCTACATCAACAGCAAAAATGTTCGTAAATAACAAGAGAAACAACAATAAAAAGCATGAAACATCTTACATATAAACAAAAGTGCCAACCGTGTGTACATATTTACAATCGTCGATGGGTATGGGTATGGGCATGGGCATGGGTTAGCTGTGTGTGGGTTTCGGCTTTCAATGAATCGTCGCCTTTTGCTGAGGCCGCGAAACCAAAAGGTCTCATATCACGCGCCCCAAAAGTGCAGCGCGAATGTGGAGGGACTGCACAATAACAAAATACATGCATATGATGTGCTGATCAGCAACTGTGGGCATGCACAATGGCCACATTATGAAGACGGACCGACACCACCACCGACAGTTGGCCAACTTTTTATTTAGTTTGGAATTTTATAGCTACTGTGCTCTTTTTTCTCTTTGTTTTGTTGCCTGAAATTGGAGCAGGATGAGCCTGAGAACTGGTTGGAACTTGTTGGAACGATTTAAGCAATGTGCCTCTTAGCAGGCTTAAAGCATGGTATTAGTTTTAACTTGGAAGCGTGGGCGATGGTATCCAGATCTTCAAGCTGACGTCATAAGCTTGTGGCGCTCAAAAGTATGCTGCGGCCTGCGTGCTTAAAAAGCACAATTCATAGGGCTGGTAAAAGCTTTTCCCAAAACCACTACATACACACACACATACATATATACACCATTTATGTATATGTAAGTGCATTAACAAAAACCAACAACATAAGAGCGCGCGCACAGCTGGGGAGCTTGCTAATGCTTAGGCAAACAACTCAACAGTGCCTAAAATAAGTATTTTGATAATTCAATTTAGTTGCAATTTGCTAGTGCGATGATGGCATTAGCTTAAAATGTAGCTCCTGAAAATGGCAATGCATTAATATGTAATAAAAACTGGCTAAAACGACCGTACAGCTCAAAAAGTACTGCTTGCTCATGTCACTGCTTGGAGTTATGCGTGCACTGCTTGCCAATCATTTAGTTTACATTTGAAATATAAACCGAAACTTTGCTTCACACTTTTAGACAACTCTTAATTTAGTAGCTATGTAAATCATTAACTACATTTACCACAAAATGAGAATAGTTGGTATTTTGGGTGGGTGGTGATAATCAAAAATAGACAGCTTCAGCAAAATAGTAAATATATTATAAAGGTAAAGGTGTAGAAGGTTATTAATAATTTCGTCCAATTAGCATTCAACTTATATAACTCATATTGTAGTTCCATACTTGTTTTTTTTATTTTAATGCGTTTTAACAGTTTTAATAAAATGACATTATAATTTTACAAAAATGTATTCAACTTATAAAGAAAGAGAATTTATAAGCTTGTAAAAAATATAAAGAAATTAGAGACCTTCACTTCCACCACAGCAAATTTGAATTGATCTCAACTGATTCGTATAGATACCGATGTTTATGTATTTTTATATACTATTTACAGAACCCTACAATCCTGATTTTCACTATAGTTTTTTTATTGCTTTTGGCATTGAAAGTCAAATACTGCATAAGAAAGTTATTATTATTTTAAGCTTTTCAAAAACCATAGGATTGTCGGCTTGAAAATAAATGTTAATGGATTAATTAGTTCTAAAGGTAGTATACAAAAATTACACTTTTTAGAGAACCAATGAATATCTTATTTTATATTAGTAGTTACAATTCATATTTTTTAGTAAGTATATTGGCCATTATTTTTCTTTAGCGATAAATTACTATTAACTAATTTATATAGTCAGAAGTACTGCAGAAATAGTTGCTTTATATTGTAAGTTAAACTGTAGCTACAATTCCAATGAATTTATAATATTGAATCCATGTCAAGACAATTCCACATAATACTATATCCGTTGAGCTTGATTGAGCTATATTGCTCAAATTCGTTCTTTATATTATTGCAGTTTTGTGGCTTAATAAATGAAAGTTTGAAAACATAGACGATTGACTTAGAATTTTAGAATAAATTGATAAATGGTTTAAGTAAAATAAGGTATGAAAGATGCTTTCAGTTGAGTCTAGAATTTGTTGTTTCATGTTACCCTGAGCCTATACCCAATGTTTGCTTTGGGAGTGGGCTTAAGCCTTGCTATTTAGAAATTGAGAATTATTGTATAAGTGATTAAAGTAAACTAAGATGTGAAAAATTTAGATTGAGGATGTTGTCTTTTTAAGCAAGTCTCTTGAGCTTGTCCATTTATGTCATATTTTTAAACATTATCGAAGTAGTTTAATTGCTTAGTATTTAGAGTGCAGTCATAAATAGTTGACACTTGCCAATTACTTATATCATCGGGTGTATAGTTTGTGGAGGCGATGAGGCGCCGCTAAGAATAAATTTTGTTTGCCTTAATTATTCATGCGCAATATTCTCATTTAATGCGATAAAGCTGCGCCGCCATTTGGCTGCCTTTTAGCTTGTGGGGGTTGTGCATGTGTGTGAGCGAGCGCGTGTAGATGTGACACGTCTTACACACACACACACACACACACACATTTGCATAGCCAGTGTTGGACGCTGGTTTGGCGTCGTCGTGGGGGTTGGGCATACCGGCACATGTTGCCGCTGATGCTGACAGGCGGCGGGTCGCAGAAACTACGCAGTTACTTAATTCTATTTATTGTGCGGTCTCGTCGCCATCGTCTCTGTCTGTTTGTTCGAATGCCGGTTTTTATACCCTGTACCCAAAGGGTACAAGGGTATATTAGTTTTGTGCGAGTGCACATGGAACAGACAGAAGGAGGCTTCGTAGACCCCACAAAGTATATATATTCTTGATCAGCATGACAAGCCGAGTCGATATAGCCATGTCCGTCTGTCCGTCTGTCCGTCTGTCCGTCTGTCCGTCTGTCTGTCTGTCTGTCTGTCTGTATGAACGCAAGGATCTCCGAAAGTATAAGAGCTAGAATAACCAAACTTGGTATACAGATTCTCCTGAGACCGAGAAAGGACGAGTTTGTTCATTTTTTCTGATCCACCCCCCCACTCCCCCCCTATTACCGATTTTCTATAACTCCCGTAATTCTTGGAATTTTGAACTAAAATTTGGTAGTTACATTAGATTAGTAATTATATATCCGTATACCAAGTTTCATTATGATAGAATGATCGGAAAGAAAGTTATAGCCATATAACCAGGCCCAATGCACACATACATACATATGTACAAGTACACAAACACGCATAAGGCACGATTCTGATATAAATGTAAATGTATGTATGCATGCATGGAATATTTTATATTTAATTAATTAATATTTAGTTAATTAATTAAATTAATTTAGTTAATTAATTTAATTAAATTAATTAATTAATTTAATTACTTTTTTGTGGGGTGGTACAGGGTATTTAAGAGTTGAGCCTGCTCGACTTTAGCATTCCTTTCTTGTTATACTTATGTACATACATACATGCACACACACACACACATGCTATATACACAAAATATGTATGTATATGCATCTATGTGTTTACATATGTATGTATGTAGGTTATGGCTTGGTGTAGGGAAGCCACGCGCGCTGTTAAGGTCGTTTGGCTACACACGCCTTTAGTTATTGTTTACGGTTAGAACTGTTTTCGTTCAGGCCAAAACGCCGGCCGGTTTGTCCATCCCTTTCACTCCTTTCACCTTGTTTCATTGCTGCCAGCAACTGGCGCATTGTAGTTCAATAAACTTCCGAAAAATTCCCCAACATTTGGCAAACTACCTCAAGGCGAAGTGGAAACAATCTCGAGTGCACGATAATAGTCAAAGACAAGGCGACAGACCCAGGGCCATTATGCATGAATGACGAATCGTTCAAGGTGAAATGATAAGCGAAGAAAGTAGTTGTGTTTAAATATTTTGTATTTTGTTTTGTTGTTGTTTCTTTTTTTCTTTCGATATTTACTAACATTATTATTTTTTAGTATTGCAATCGCTTAAAATATAGAATACAATGTATAGAATACAAAAAAACAAAAATTCAAAATTCAGTCAATATGACCAAACAAACGCCCAACTCTGGGAAGAACTCAAAGGAACTTACGAGCTATATGAGTGATATGAGTGAGTAGTTGTTGTTGGAGTTGTTGGGCAGGGTGAGTTGGTGCATTGTGTGTGATATACATATAAGATATAAGATCAAGTTAATACAACTAAGTTGATGATGGCATGCGTTTTAAGCTATTTAGTTTTGGGATTTTGGGGGATACGACCATGGGGCTTTGGGTGCTTATTGGGCTGGCAGTTGTGGCATGGAATTTGCTGAAAAGCCCAAAGCCGTAGAACCCCACTCCTAGTAGTTGGAGCTTACAGCTCCAGCTGGAACTGCTCCTGATCCTCAATCTTAAGCGATTTGGTTTTCTTCACCAGATCTGTCGGCGGTGGCACACACTTGCGGAAGGGTGTGCGTGGGGTGCCGCGCAACAGACAGCTGGGGATGTTATTTGGTGGTGTCTGGCTTAGCGGTGAGCCGCGCAAGTTCTTCATGAAGGAGCGCTCATAGATTAACTTCGTGCCTGCAATGAAGGAAGGAAAGAAACAAAAGACACATATGTTATTATTTATGTCAATGCCATCAATGCCAGTTCTGATGATAAGGCCCCATCACCTGAGTCATACTACCTACACCTATATTCATTCATACATAATAAGTCTGTATACAATGAGTCTTATCAAAAGATTTGACTGATTCACAGCGGCATAAAAATTTCATCAGCAAAGTGCAGACAGTGGTGAGACAGTTTCTTGAACTTCGTACCATATGTACATACAAGTATATACACAAATGTTGAGCAATCTTTTTCCAATTACCAGGTGCAACTATCTAGCATACATATGGTTGTTGATAAGATGGTTTTTTGAATATAAAGTACACGTGAGCTTTGAAGTTCGAATGCGGTGCATGCTAGCAATCTAGCACTCCTGAGATGTATTCTAAAGCCGTCACCATGCACAACTAGCTATGAGATAGTTCCAAACGTTTCGAATAAGAAGAAGAAGAGTGAGTATGAATTTTGTTTCCAGTAAGTTTGTAGAGAACATTGTTACACTCTTGATATATATGATGCTGATTCTATGCCTTGTTATGTTGTATAATTTATGATAATTGAAATTTTTGAAAACCCTATATGAGCAGCTATCTGACCCCTGGCCTACAACTTGTTTGTTCATCTTTTTTGTTGCTTACCGCCAGGTGTTGTGGAGTACAGCGTGCCTCCGGGTGTTGAAGAGTACACCTCCGGCATTTGTATGGGATCTGTGATGAAAATCTTCTTGGTCTTCATCATGGGCATGGCATGCGTGATAGCCTGACGAGCGGTTGGTGATGCAGACATCTTGTAGTAGTAGTTGTTGTGCTTCTTGTTAACTTGTTTTTAAAACTTTTCCGTTACTTTGTAACACTTGATGGTATCGCACGATGCTTCTTGCGAAAATTGCGTTGTTGCCTTTGGCAGTTCTGGTAGTGAGTAATTCGCTTGGCTGGTTACACCTTATCACTTGCTATAATGCTAGCTACGTCTTCCGTTTGCTGGCCGAGTGGCGAGTGTGCCGCTCAGTGGCATGGGTGGCGGTATTTATACTCGCTCGCTAGCTCGCTCTGCTGCTTCTTTCATTGTGTTCTTTTTTGTTTGCTGTTTGTTTAAAATTCTTAATGCGCAAGCGCTCTCTGCTCTATTCTCACGCTCTCTGGCAAGGTTGGTTGATTTGCTATTGTTGTTGGTCTGGTCTGGCTGGGTCTGCTGATATTATTTTTTGTTTTCTTGTTTTCTTGTTATTGCCGTTCCATGGAACGGAATATCTGCGTAGTTTGCATTCGACTTTCTTATACATATGTGCATGACAAATGCTCAGCCGGCATTTTCTTCACTCATTCCATAATTTGTTATTGTTGTTTAGAAGCTGTGGGCACACCCTAGTAGCTGAACTTTTTTATACCCTGTTTAAAAGTTCTGGTGTTGTTGAAGGTATGAACTGTAATAACTAGGGACAAAAAACTAGGCTTGCAGATATGTCTAATCAATACGTGGACTGAGTATATCATAATCCATATTTTACATTATTATTTTGTACATGTATGTTCATGGCTGCCCTAGAAAAAAACGGTGCAAAAATTACTCTGAGTATACTAAGTTGTATATAGTATTTCCAAGCTGTTTATTATGCCTCAGCATATTCCCAATTTTTACTTAAATCAACACAGAGACAAGCTCTTCCAAAATAGTTCTTAGTTGCAAAAACCCATTTTTGCTGGTAAATTACGATTTTCTCTGAAGTTATATCGAAATGGCAGTACAATATCATGTATGTAGCTGCTATAGCGTATAAAGGGATCCGGTACAGAGTGTACAAATGTCGGGATTGAGCGACTTAAGCATTCTTCTAGTTGTTTTTACGATTTCTCCGGCTATTGCAATCGAGACTGGGGTAAGCCAAGCAATAATTCTACTAATTTTTATGTGTGGCCAGTTGTTGACAACATTTTAAGTTGTTTTTTGTTTTTGGTTTTGTTTTACTCGATAATGTGTTGTTGCTTGAAATTTATTGGTAAACAAAGATACGCAGCACCTATTGTATAAACAATTCGCTGTAATAGAATTCACAATCGTGTTCTGGTTAGTCAAGGTGTAGTGTATAGTAGATATGGAAAATGTATTTTGTGATAAGATCGTCTGCTAGAGAATAGACCCGAAATGATGACTAAAGGAGTCGATGTTTGTCGGTGGCGCATTTCTTAGAATTTATATGGTTTCATCATCATAACCGGAGCACCGTTGGATGAGCGAGCGGTTCATAGTCAAGCGCGTGTTTGCTGTGTGGCTGGGTGTTAGTTTTTTTTTTTTTATTGCGAAAATCGCTAGTATTTTGCATAATGGCACGTTGCCGGCTAGATCGATCGTCGCTAACATGCTGCTGACGTAGGCAAATAAAAAGCATATGTACGTACGAATATCGAAACAAACGGGCGGGGGCGTAATGAGTGCCAAAACAAAATGTAAGAACCACAACAATAAACACCGCTGACGTATCTGTATCTGAATAATACGACACACGCTTTTGGCATTACAAAACAGACGATGAAAGAGGGCGCCATGTAAGTTTTTCCTACAGTATACATCAATTGAGATGCAAATATTCTAAAGTTTACAACTACTTTTATGATTTGGACTGCTCAAAGCCATATAGAATTTGGTGCTCTCGGATAAGATTTTAATTTATATATCGAAATATTTTATAAGCAATTATAGCAAATTTGCTTATATAAATAAATATATAATCATTGAAATAATTGTTCAAACGCGTTTCCTTTCTCTCTTTTGCTCTTCATTTAATTAGTCCCTAATTATAATTAAGTTTCCCCCTATAAATACAATTTTGTTTAGTTTGATTAATTAATTGTAAATATGTTACATAATACTTATACACATACACACATAATATTTAAATTATTAACTTGATTCGCTTTAAGTATCAGTGGTTAATTTTAAAGCTTGTATTAAATAAAATATTTGTATTAATTAAACATTTTAATGTTTATTATTGTTTTGTTACCAATAAACTTTTAAATTCGTTGAATTTATATTTTGTGTTTTTCATAACGAAAACTTTGTATAGAAATGTATAAAAAAGTCAGTATTTGCAATTTCCACTGTGATTAATTGAATCGAATAGATTTTGATCAATTCCGCTGCGCAGATCAGTTTGGTCCCCTTGGATATTAACCCAATCTATTCACCACCACCCCACGAGTATCTAAGCACCATCCACGTGTGAGCGAGGACAGCGTTTTATGTGTGTCACACATATACACGTACATACAAATATCCCGCACACGAAACACCCACGATTTTGAACTACATAGTACTTACATATATAGAAATTCTATATATATTGAGCATTTTTGTACACATCTTTGAGGACAGGCTAAGAATATTGCGCAAGGTCAACGACAACGGCCACGTGCTCTAATTTATGATTAAGGTATATAAACAAAATTCTGTATAAAATATAACAACAACAAATACAAATTCACAATAAGTCAAGCGGGCTATTGACTTGCCAGTGCGATAGCCTTCGTTAGAGATTAGAGAGAGTGTGAAATGGGAAGACAAGTGCAGTTATTCATAAAACTGATAAAAGTGACAAAGTGCGTTCGCTACACATACATACAAGTACATATGTACTATATGTAGGTATGGATGTATCTGACCCCGAAAGGCGCATTAATTTGGAGCACGGGACTTACAACGGCTATAGCCTAAAGGTTAGCATGCTTGATGTCACGTAGCCCGCCCGAGAACATAACAAAACATAAATCTACGCCCTACGTGCGTGTTAAACATGCTTTACCCGCTCATGCGCTCTCGCCCTTTAAACTTCCTCTCCCTTTTGCTCACCCGCTCTCACACAATCACTCTCTCACACACTGACTCTCTCAGACGTCTCACTACTATCTTCTCAATTAAAGCAAGCAACCCTCTGAATTTTATTTGTACCTGCGCCTTAGCGGCTTCGTCTATTGCGTTGCAATGGCCGGTGAAAATGCGTCTTAGGAAAATTGCTTGAGATTGGGGACGCATCAGGTAGGCAACTGTTATAACATTCGGCAGGGAGTAAAAAATAAAATGCTGATGAAATTGCACAGTTCGTTTGCTCATCATCATAGACGAATTTAAATACTCAGTATTCGGCGTCGTCTACTAATTTTGTATTTAACGATTGCTTTTCTAAAATAGTTTGTTGTGAATGAAATGCCGAAATGCTGCGCAAATTCGTCTTTGCATAAACATAGCAAAATAGCAACAATATCAACAACAACAACAACATTTTTAAACTCGTGCCGACGTCGTTGACCCACATACGAGCCAATGCTTGGCGAATAGCCGAAAGTCTGTTTTGTTTATTTTATATTAAATGCAAACGGAAAGATGTTTTTACATTTTGAAAATAATTAAAAAAGAGTGATATTTTATTTATCATTTATTCTATATTCATTATTTCCTTTTTTTCATTAATTTAATTTTTACATATAACTGAAAAGACTTTTTACCGCAAAGAATGTTACGAAAAGATGTAATGTTACATTCAGTTAACCCCGACAGTGATAATAGTGGAATATAATGGTTATGCTAATAGTTTTTCTGCAAAGTGTATTGAAGAAATTCTGTAAATTCGTATTGCCTAGGCAGAGATGTAGGATCAGCAGACTCCAAAGCTTGATTTGTCTCGTCATGCTGATGAAGAAAATTCATACATACGTTTATAATATTTCAAGAACAAAGGTTTTTAATGTAATTATAACTACCCGGAGTGCACAACCGAAAAGTATATCCTAAAAGTATGCTCCTATTTATTGCAGTCGATATTCAGACTTGTTCAACAGGTAATATATAAACATACTTGTTTATAAAATAGTTTTTCATTTGTAAGTTCACAATGGAAATAATTTTGTGGAGTCATCTATGTATCTACTATCTAGCATGTCGTAGTTTAAAGACTTTTTTAAATAATATATTTTAAGATAAAAGATTAGTTAATTTTTGAAGAAAAGGTTTCTGTTACTGTGTTTATGTTTAATTAATTTATATTTTTTAACTTTTCAATTAAAATACTTGTACTTTTTTGGGTCATCGTTTTATGCACAACTTCAAAAAATCACAGTTGAGTGGAAAAATTGCAGCAAATTAGCACCCATAACCCATTAATTTAAATAGATATTTGACCAAACGTACTAAACCTGTTTAAACTTATCAGTTGTTTGTGTCATTGTGCGAGTCTTGACTGGTTTAAGGCCTAAAGCTGCGTTTAAGGTCATGTAAGGCTATCACTATACTTAATTATGTGTGATATATTCTGGAGAGGAATCACGCTGTTGAATACGAGCTATAAAGTTCTAGCCACACTACTGAACGAGCGTCTTCAGGAAAAAATTGAGCCATCAATACGTGATGAACAGGCAGGATTCAGACCACACAGGAGTTGCGTAGACCAGGCAGACACACTACGCATAATTACCGAACAAGCTGTGGAATGGCGGGCCCCACTGTACCTCCTGTTCATCGATTTCAAGAAGGCATTCGATTCAGTGGAAAGAGCGGCAATATGGGGCGCACTTGCAAGGAGAGGAGTACCGACCAAAATTATCGCCATAATTAAGGCGATGTATGATGATGCCAACCTGGCGGTCTTGCACAATGGAGAAACAAGTGCACCTTTCCAGACAAACACAGGAGTCAAGCAAGGCTGCCCTCTATCGCCACTGCTCTTCAACATCGTGGTAGACGAACTCATGAGGGAAATATGCAAGTCCAAGCGTGGCATCACGTGGAGCTTCAACAGACATCTTGAAGACTTGGACTATGCGGACGACATCTGTCTGATCTCTCACAGGCTCTGTGATATCCAATCCAAAACTGATGACCTCGTGGAGTTACCCAGTCGAGTCGGGCTGGAAATAAACACGGCAAAAACAAAAGCGATGCGCTTCAATCACGCCTGCCAAGGAAATGTCAACATATGTGGGAACCCAATCGAGTTTGTTGATAACTTCCCATACCTCGGCACCATTATCTCCAAAAATGGTGGCGTAAATGAAGATGTGTCGAGCCGTCTTACCAAAGCCCGATCAGCATTCGGAAGACTGTATCGCATATGGAGAAGCGGACAGTTAAGCAGAAAAACCAAACTCCGAATCTTCAATGCCTGCGTGAAATCCACTTTACTGTATGGGAGCGAGACGTGGCTGACCACACAAAGAATGATCCAACAGCTGCAGGCATTTATAAATAAATGCCTCAGAATTATATGCGGGGTATTCTGGCCGAACAGAATATCAAACGCAGACCTGTGGAGCATGACTGGTGAATCTCCAATCCACCTCCAGATAAGGAAGAAAGGAAGAAATGGATGTGGATTGGCCACGCACTGCGAAAGGACCCACACAGCATTGTAAGGATGGCGCTAGACCGGAACCCCCAAGGAAGCAGACGGGTCGGCAGACCTAAGATAACCTGGCGACGGACCACCCTTCAGGAATTATCCCATAACAACATCACATGGGACACAGCTAGACAGACGGCCAGAAATAGAGTTCGATGGAAAGTACTTGTAGAAGCCCTAAGCTCCCAAGTGGAGTAAAACAGGAATAAAAAAAAAAAAAAAAAAAAAAAATATATATATATATTCGCGGTAATCAGATGGAAAAATGGTAGCTTCAAGTCAGCCACAGATTTTGGAAAGCGTAGACCGCTTGGTGCCTTATAACCTTGTAGTTCAGTACCCAGAATTGTTAAATGTCCCAATCGGTCTACCACGTAATCGTCTGCCTGGACGTGGCGGCGCAATTTCATGCCCTATTACATCAGCCTCAAGCTATCTACGAGCATGTATCAGTCAGAAGTCATTCCTGCTGGATTGAGTCGCGCGCATTACGAGTCCGACACACTCGTAGATCGGCACTTCATCTATATAGTACGCAGCCCCTTTGCCGATCAAGTTCAACAGCACTCAGCTGATAAGCTAGAACCGAGACATGGCATAGAATTAAAAGATTGTTTACATAAATACTACGAGTATATATGCATTAAAGATTTGGATTGTTCATGAATTGAGGGATATTCGTATGAGGCGTTGTTAGGAGCGCATCGCAGCTTCTTACACTTTCGGTATTTACTGATCACTCAATCGATAATAATAAATTAAAGAACTGAAATGGAAAGGCGGCAGAGAAGTAAGATGTCATGGAAATTTATTTTGCAAACTTGAAACCTTCGGTACGAGCAGCGAACCCGAACCACTCCAGGCTTTTCAGCAGTGCGCGTGAGTTCTACGAGCTACCCTACCTACCTTGTATGGTATGGTATTGTTGTTGTTGCTGTTGTGGTATTGGCAGCTTTATCGCTTATAGTGTCTGTATGTGATATGATCAAAGTTTTTGGCGTTTATGTGAAAGTGTTGAAAGCTATTGCCTAGAGACCTTCATAAAACTTATCGAGCATTTCATTGTTTATAATGCCAAAAGTCCAGAGCATGCGGTCGTTGCTCGCATCACATTCATTCGTGTAGACATGGGCTTTACCATCTTCGACGATGCCCTCCAGACAACGATGTGTGTTCTGGCCGTGCACGATCCATTGATGGGCGCGATCGTAGTACCAGAATTGATTGCCGCCCTGATTGTGGCAATGCCAAATCCAAACAGTGGCATTCGCATGTGAATCCTGAACATCGAGACAGTCGCTACGATCGAGCTGGCGCAGCTCACGGTCACTGGACAGCACCCAATGCTGATTATGCTGCGGATGCGTAAGATTTTCGGCACAGGGATAGAGTCCAACGGCATTATTGGAGCCATGGTTCATCGTATCTATGCAGTAGCCACTAGCCAGATGCTTTATAGCACCCGAAGCATAGCTGGGTGGCTCCACTGGTGGAAATTTCTTGAGGAAATCAAACGCCACATTGGTCATGTACCAGTCAAAGGACTTGCATTGCAAACGTTCGCGCACGGCACGCTGTTTGGTAACGTCGCCAGCATCGATGTTATCATAAGTGTTTGGATCGCGTTCGTAGACATACTTCTTGTACTCGTCCATCCATACCTCAGCAACACGTTTGTGGTTCTGTAAATAGGGTGTATAAAAAAATATGCCATAGTTTTAAAATAATCGACAAATGATTGATACAATGAATTTTTCAATTTAGAATTGGATTTAATTCATAAAAGGATATGTTGCAATGCTCCTAATTTTTTTTTAAATGATTATTGCTATCATTACAATAAAATAATTGTATTCTTGAATTGAGATATCGCTTTAAAAATTATATTCTTTGTCTACTTACTCGAGCGACAAAATTGTAATTTCGTGGGTTTGGTCGTTTCTCCATAATGCCGCGAAAGACGTGCGCCACACGCGAACAGGGAACATCCAGCAACATGCCACCACACATCCAGATCTTGAAGCTCAACTCGTACTGCTCGCCACCCCAAATGTCCAGCTCATCATCGTAGCCACCCAGATCCCAGAAGAACTGACGATCAATAGCAAAGAGTCCGCCCATCATGACGGGGCTGCGATACGGCTGTGATTTGTCAACGCTATCCTCAGGCAGCACTGGCAGTTGTTTGTAAAAGAATCGCCAGTCGAAGCCGCCACGTGAACCCTCCTGGTAGCCGCCATTATACGCAAAGTTCTCGTTATCAATAATATCCACAATCGGGCAGGTGGAGATTTTGCTATTAATGGCTATGGGCTCCAGCAGGGGCGGCAGCTGTAAGAGGACACTTGGCAGGAAATAATTAAGATTGGAAATTATGTAGATCTTACCCAATTGTAGTTGACTTCGATGTGAGAATCGAAAAATACCATAACATCTCCTATAGCGATCTTAGCACCAGCCAGGCGAGCACCAATCAGACCACGACGCTCAGGATTATGCACCACATCCACCAGGTGAGACCAATGGGATGCCACATAATCATCCAATTGCTCCTTTAACATTTCACGATCGCTGCCATCATTTACCAGAACAATTTGCTTGAGAAGCTCAGGTGGTGTGCGATTGAAGATGCTATAGACGGAGCGCAGAAGGGTATTGAAGTGCTCGTTGTAGAAAATGAAGATGACGCTGACGTTGGGTAGCTTAGCCAGATACTGTCGGGTCTTGCATCTGCGAAATAGGATTTGAAAAAGGCAGTGCAGTGGCAAAACCACTAAACTTACTCTTCGCGTCGCACGTCGGGCACAGAGCGATTGACTGAAATTCTATCGGAGAGCATGCCGTTGAAGCCATCCTTTAAAAATATCTGTCTTTCCAGCTCTTTTTCCGTCGGTTCGTTTTGAGCCGGCAGACCATGCTCCCCCAGACCAATGCGAGCTTTGTCTGCCTCCATGGCGGCATAATCATGCCAATCCTTAAGTGGACCTTGCGCTTTTGGCAGCCAAGCAGGCGAGCTGCCTGCCGGCTTCGACTGCTGCAGATTTTGGGACACGGGGGCAGACTCCCGTGCTAGACTGCGATCTTGAAACGGTGGCCTTGGAGCTCGACGGGTAGGTGGTATGTTATTTACCGCTTTGTATTCCAGCGTTATGGGATCCCCATTGGGGTCCAAATTGCTTTCATCCTCTCCGCCACTACCCTTACCCAGTCGCTTCTCTACAATCATGGTGGTCACTAGTGAGATGAATGCAACGCTTAGCAATCCAAAGACAATTTTCCGCACAAGGCGTTTGACGTAGCGCTTTTTCATAGCCATCGGTTCGAGGGAGTGTTGAGTTCCGAATAATAACCACAATTCTTACACGTTGCAGCTTTGGTCTTGGCAGTTGGCAATGCGTGTGCGATGCTGGCTCATTAGTTTAATTGCTAGCAGTGGCGGTAAGCACGAAACGCAAGCTACGACTGCTGATAAGGACACAAATTTGGTGAACATGCTTCTGCACTACCAATTACATTATCAGTGCTACAATACTGTTTGCTATTGTAGCTTCGACTACTCCATTCTATTGTTCCACTCACTTCAGATAAAAATCAATTGCATTGCAATTTGAATTTCGCAGCTAATAAGTTACACTGGCGCCATCTTTTGTCTGTGTGAAGTACTAAGTGAAATTTTAATAGCCAGAGAGTTGGCAGTTCCATGGCAAGCTTTCCTCACACTTTAAGTTTTTAGTTTTGAGTTGAAATTGGCAGCCGGCTTTTCAAATTAGTAATTATCACACGTCTTTTCTTTACATATTTGCTTAAATAATGAAAATTAAATAGATTTATATGAAATGATTTTATACTTACAAGTACAATTCAATTTTTTATTAAATTCCATAGAACGTGAAAAATCTTTCATGTGTGACGTAAATGGGGAGTAGAAGAAAGCTGGACTCTTAATTGCGTCATCGCGTTTTATCAAGCCACTGAAACACAAAAGCTCTAGCCTATTGGATAGTAGGAGCTTGCCGTCAGTCTTCTGAAGGCACTGAAACACAAAAGCTCTACCCCATTGGATAGTAGGAGACTTTCCGTCAGTCTTCTAAAGCTTGTCGTTGGGAATAGGTGGATCGCACACAAAAGTGATAAAAAAGAAAGACCGATTGCGATAAAGCCTTGTAGTAGATTTGTTAACGAGTACAAACATACATAAATATTACTATACTATAGTAATACCTATATTATATAAGTAGCAATGCCAATAACTAACTTTAGTGGACTTTCTTAAAGTACATTTTAATAACAGTTACTCGTGATCATCATGGGTGCTATCAATAATAAATGTGAATTAAGATTGGTCGCAGAAAAAAAAGGAAAGCTTTAAGCAAAAGACATAACAGGAATCAATGAATCCATTGAGTCGGAATGAATCAGAAAGTTATTTGCTTTGATTACAAATACACAAACGTTCCCATTTAAGAGTGCGAGTGAAGGGAGAACTGGCTTTACGATAAAAATGAGCAAAAAAGAATGTATTTGGACGTATTCTACATTTCGAATGAGCGCTTACTATGTGATCAGCTGATTTTTAAATGACTTGAACGGCACTGCGTGTTCCTGCTTCTTTTCGACTTCAAACACGAATGGAACGATAGAGCCGATTGGGCTCAACTCTTAAATACCCTGTACCCGGAGTGGACAACAACGAAATTGTACAAAACAGTTTATATTTTTACAATTAAATGATTTAAATTCAAATAAAACCAAGAAAGAAATGCTAAAGTCGAGCAGGCTCAACTCTTTAATATCCTGTACCTCCCACCAAAAAGGAAAAAATGAAAAATTTTATTAATTATTCAATACATACATACGATAGTGGAGACATGTTTCAACAGCATACATTTACATCAGAATCGTGTATCTGCGTGTTTATATGCGTGTATGTGTGCAGCACAAAGTTGAACCAAAGCAGCATCAACAACAACATCTTCACCTTTGGGTTAATGACAGGTAGGTTTCTGGTCCCTAGGAGGGTCTACACTGATATAATAATGACGGTTTGATATTCAGACTGAACGTGCCTAACTTCATCTCAAATCAAACAATATTCAATGTTCTTCAAAATAATATAAACAAAATAATTTCACCTGGATTTAAGTATTCAAGAGACCCTAAAGCTTATCAGAAATCTTATACGAGTATAGCCTTTTTTTCTAATAAGCTGCCATAAAAAAAAGATGCCAACATAACTGGGAGTGGAAAACTTTGTGTCTATCTCTTTTAAATTCTACCTAACTATATTCTAAGGTTTCATATAATTAGCTGGACGGATAAGTTGTAGGCATGTTTGTACTTCTCCTGTGCGAAAAATATTGTGTAGTAGAATGTTTAAAAATTCGAAAGCATAAAATTCATAGCATGCATATTAATGTCAACTAATTATTCAGATTTAGTTCTTTCGACAGAGTATTTGTTATCGTTACCTGTTGTAACAGAAAATATATTTATATATCCGGCACGAGATTCGCTGGTGTCTATAGATATTTTCCCACTTCCAAGCCGAACGTCATTAAAAACACTGTTACAACAAAACCACAATGTTGATCAAATAAAAAGTGTATTTAACTGTTCAAAATGTAGGGAAATTATGCACTATATAGTATGTCTTGCCTTCATGGCGTTACTCAACGAACTGCCCCGATCGCATGATACGGGACTGTCAACTTAATTCTTTTAACATTGCAAAAACTGACAACTTATTTTATTACAAAATACTAAAGGATTCGTTTTCGCAACATCCTCCTCCCAAGTGTTGCAGTCGGCAAAAGTATATAATATGCATCAATGTTTTGCAGTCAGCAACACATAAGATTTACAATTCATTGTTAACATCTAATTTAATTAGATTGGTCTCTTATAAATTTTATCTCTTATTCTGACAACAACAATACGAACGCGCCCATCTTTTGATGGATATGCTTTTACAATAATGCCTTTTGGCCAAACATTTCTTGGAATTTCAGATTCATTTATTAAAACTATATCCCCTTATCACTATTATTTGTCCATTTGCGAGTGTACAATAAATATTGTCTATATTCTTTTTTCCATTTTAGCCAAAATATATCAGCTAGTCGTTGTGATGCTTTCCACATATTCAAAAGTTTCAAATCAATGTCAGTTGTATTAGAATAAAACTAGTCTCTGTAATTGGGACCGATCAAAATGTCATTTGGCGTTAATGGTTCTGACTCTATCGAATCAGAGGGCACATACAAAAGAGGTCGACTGTTCATCATGAATTCAATTTCGCAAAAGAGAGTTTTAAGCATGAACTCGGCACCCAACAGTCGAAACACATGCATGAACGAATTACTAGACAAGTCCTCAGCTATTTCGAGATAGACAGCACGGGATACCATGCACGTAAAAATTACACCATAGCGTTTAACATGGCTCCTGTTAACAGTAACTTCTATAGGTCCAAAGTAAACAACTCCCACTTTTAAAAATGCTCTTGCAGTTGGTTCTATTCGGCATAATGGAAGCTGTCCTATCACTGTTGAGTGAGACAGTGTTTTTTTTAGTTTTTCCAGTGCTGACAATTGCGAATGACGTTTTTAACTGTATTAAGGCATTTCGTAATCCAAAATTTATGCCTAAGATTGGAAATCACGGTTTCAGTACCCATATGACAGTTTTTTACGTGATAGTAATGTATCAGCAATTTCGTAATCGAATGGTCTTTGCTCAAAATAATAAGATTTTTGGCATCAAAGTCATACTCATTTTCATTCAAATAATCTAGCCTTCCTCTGAGTCTAACTAAACTTTCTATTTCGGTCTGGTAGAAATCTAATTGTATTCTCCTAAATATCCACATTTCGGCTTTTTCTAATTCTTTCGCGGTGAGTTCGTCGTCCACAAATTTGTTTCGCTTAAGCTTTGATATATATCTTTGTACCCACGCAACAGTTCTCAGGAATCTCATCCAATTCGAAAATCTTGAAGTGTCCGGCAAAGTATTTGGTCAAAGTTGTTAAGTTGACATATTCTTTGCTAACATCTTCATTATCCTGTCGATTATAGGACACTTTTCCACTACTTTTCCAACCGGCCATTTACTTATGTCCTCTTGTAAAAATGGTGGACCCTTTAGCCATAAATTATTATTACAAAAATCAATATCATATACTTTTGTGGCCTCATCTGTGGTATTCATTTTGGAAGGTACGTAGCGCCAATCACACATATTTGTAAGTTCTTGGATTCAAGCGTTGAGCTACAAATGTTTTAAATCTCTTGCTACTGGATTTGAGCCAATATAAGACAATTGCTGAATCTGTCCACATAAATGTCTTCGTGATCTTCATCTGCAAGTCCTTCTTTATCATTTTGCTAAGTCTAGCTCCCAACAATGTACCCTGAAGCTCTAGTCGCGGAATTGACATTGGTTTAATTGGTGCAACTCGTGATTTACCCATTATCAAAATATTTTCGACTTACTTTGTATTGTGCTGAAAACGTAAATATGCACAGGTCGCATAGGCAACTTTTGAGGCATCACAAAATACATGCAGTTATATATTACATTTCTGCAGAAGAAGCGCCGCCAGGCAGAAGACCGCATTAAAGCGTTCTACTGGCTGATGGGTAGGAGATCCAAGCTGCCGACGTCATCAAAGCTTCTTGTATACAAGGCGATTATCAGGCCAATCTGGACATATGGTATCCAATTGTGGGGCACCGCCTGTAAAACTAATGTCCGAATTATACAGACATTCGAGAACAAAGCTCTCCGCATCGCCACCAGCGCTCATCCTCTGCACGACAACGACACTATTCATGAAGTCCTCAGCTTCCCTTGGGTGAAGGACGAAGTTAAGAAAATCAGCAAGCGGTACATGCAGAGGCTACATGACCACCCCAACAACTTGGCGATGAACTTGCTGGACAACAGCGAACGGACCAGGAGGCTGCTCAGGACCCATCCTCTGGACCTCCAAAGGGACGAGCCGGATACTACAACTACACTCTAAATGAAATAATAAACTGAGAAGTTTATCTTTATCAAATTTAATGATTGTCCATGATGGACAGTTTTAAATAAAATACGAAGAAAAAAAAAATATATATATATATATATTACATTTGTTTATTGGCAAGGAAGTCATTGCTTTTGTTGTACTAAAGTCACGTATTCTACCTAAAGAATTACATATAGTTTTCCAAATTTCAAAATGTTCGTCTGTGATGGAGTCGTCCCATTTTATACCACTGTCCCAAATAGCTTGGAGAAGTATCTTATTTGAAATAAGAACATTTGAAAGAAGTCCCAACGGATCGAAAACTGACATTGTTAATTTTAATACC